TTGTTGATGTCAGAGGAGAATGGGCAGGCTGGTTCCAGATGACAGAAAGGCAACAGTCAGATAACCACTCGTGACCACCAAGGTCCATCCTGCCTCGTATCATCGGTTCAGGCTGGTGGTGTGGGGGACATTTTCTTTGCACACTTTGGGCCCCTCAGTACCAACTGAGCATCGTTTAAACCCGACAGCCTACCTGAGTATTGTTGCTGATCACGTCCATCCCTTTATGACCCAGTGTACCATCTTCTGATGGATAATGCTCCATGTCACAAAGCTCAGATCATCTCAGACTGGTTTCTTGAACATGACAATGAGTTCACTGAACTCCAGAGGCCTCCACAGGCACCAGATCTTTCACCAAGATTCACATCATGAACGTCCAGCCGACAAATCTGCAGCACCGGTGTGATGCTGTCATGTCAACATGGACCAAAGTCTCTGAGGAAGGTTTCCAACAGCTTGTTGAAAGTGTGCTACAAAGAATTAAGGTTCTGATCCGGTACTAGCAAGGTGTCCCTAATAAAGTGGCCGGTGAGTGTAAATAACACTTTCACAGCAGCACACTGATGAACTGTGCTCAAAACACTCCTGAACTGTAGTTCTGTCTGTAATCTATCTGTAGTTCTGTGTGTGGTTCTGTCTGTAATCTGTCTGTAGTTCTGTCTGTAGTTCTGTCTGTGGTTCTGTCTGTGGTTATGTCTGTGGTTCTGTCTGTAGTTCTATCTGTGGTTCTGTCTGTGGTTCTGTCTGTGGTTCTATCTGTGGTTCTATCTGTGGTTCTGTCTGTGGTTCTGTCTGTAGTTCTGTGTGTGGTTCTGTCTGTAATATGTCTGTAGTTCTGTCTGTGGTACTGTCTGTAGTTCTGTTTGTGGTTCTCTTTGCTGTTCTGTCTGTAATCTTTCTTTGTAGTTCTGATTGTGGTTCTGTCTGTAGTTCTGTCTGTGGTTCTGTCTGTAGTTCTGTCTGTAGTTCTGTCTGTGGTCCTGTCTGTGGTCCTGTCTGTTGTTCTGTCTGTACTTCTGTCTGTGGTTCTCTTTGTGGTCCTGTCTGTAGTTCTGTCTGTAATCTATCTGTAGTTATGTGTGTGGTTCTGTCTGTAATCTGTCTGTACTTCTGTCAGTACTTCTGTCTGTAGTTCTGTCTGTAGTTCTATCTGTGGTTCTGTCTGTGGTTCTGTCTGTAGTTCTGTGTGTGGTTCTGTCTGTAATATGTCTGTAGTTCTGTCTGTGGTACTGTCTGTAGTTCTGTTTCTGGTTCTCTTTGCTGTTCTGTCTGTAATCTTTCTTTGTAGTTCTGTCTATGGTCCTGTCTGTGTATTCCTGTCTGTTGTTCTGTCTGTGGTCCTTTCTGTAATTCTGTCTGTAATCTATCTGTAGTTCTGTGTGTGGTTCTGTCTGTGGTTCTGTCTGTAATATGTTTGTAGTTCTGTCTGTAGTTCTGTCAGTAGTTCTGTCTGTAGTTCTGTCTGTAGTTCTGTCAGTAGTTCTGTCTGTGGTCCTGTCTGTAGTTCTGTCTGTAATCTATCTGTAGTTCTGTCTGTGGTCCTGTCTGTGGTCCTGTCTGTCGTTCTGTCTATGGTTCTGTCTGTAGTTCTGTCTGTAGTTCTATCTGTGGTTCTGTCTGTGGTTCTGTCTGTGGTTATGTCTGGGGTTCTGTCTGGGGTTCTGTCTGTAGTTATGTCTGGGGTTCTGTCTGTGGTTCTGTCTGTGGTGCTGTCTGTGGTCCTTTCTGTAATTCTGTCTGTAATCTGTCTGTAGTTCTGTCTGTGGTCCTGTCTGTAATTCTGTCTGTAATCTATCTGTAGTTCTGTCTGTGGTTCTGTCTGTGGTTCTGTCTGTAGTTCTGTCTGTAGTTCTGTCTGTGGTTCTGTCTGTGGTTCTGTCTGTAGTTCTGTCTGTGGTTCTGTCTGTGGTTCTGTCTGGGGTTATGTCTGTAGTTCTGTCTGTTGTTATATCTGTGGTTCTGTCTGTGGTTATGTCTGTGGTTCTGTCTGTGGTTCTGTCTTTGGTTTTATCTGTGGTTCTGTCTGTAGTTCTGTCTGTGGTTCTGTCTGTGGTTCTGTCTGTATTCTATCTGTAGTTATGTCTGTGGTTCTGTCTGTAATCTGTCTGTACTTCTGTCAGTACTTCTGTCTGTGGTCCTTTCTGTAATTCTGTCTGTAATCTATCTGTAGTTCTGTGTGTGGTTCTGTCTGTATTCTGTCTGTAGTTCTGTCTGTAGTTCTGTCTGTGGTTCTGTCTGTAGTTCTGTCTGTAGTTCTATCTGTGGTTCTGTCTGTGGTTCTGTCTGTGGTTCTGTCTGTAGTTCTGTGTGTGGTTCTGTCTGTAATATGTCTGTAGTTCTGTCTGTGGTACTGTCTGTAGTTCTGTTTGTGGTTCTCTTTGCTGTTCTGTCTGTAATCTTTCTTTGTAGTTCTGATTGTGGTTCTGTCTGTAGTTCTGTCTGTGGTTCTGTCTGTAGTTCTGTCTGTAGTTCTGTCTGTAGTTCTGTCTGTGGTTCTGTCTGTGGTTCTGTCTGTAGTTCTGTCAGTAGTTCTGTCTGTAGTTCTTTCTGTACTTCTGTCAGTACTTCTGTCTGTGGTCCTTTCTGTAATTCTGTCTGTAATCTATCTGTAGTTCTGTCTGTGGTACTGTCTGTAGTTCTGTTTCTGGTTCTCTTTGCTGTTCTGTCTGTAATCTTTCTTTGTAGTTCTGATTGTGGTTCTGTCTGTAGTTCTGTCTGTGGTTCTGTCTGTAGATCTGTCTGTACTTCTGTCAGTACTTCTGTCTGTGGTCCTTTCTGTAATTCTGTCTGTAATCTATCTGTGGTTCTGTCTGTAGTTCTGTCTGTGGTTCTGTCTGTGGTTCTGTCTGTAATATGTCTGTAATTCTGTGTGTAATCTATCTGTTCTGTCTGTGGTCCTGTCTGTGGTCCTGTCTGTGGTCCTGTCTGTCGTTCTGTCTATGGTTCTGTCTGTAGTTCTGTCTGTGGTTCTGTCTGTGGTTCTGTCTGTGGTTATGTCTGTGGTTCTGTCTGTAGTTCTGTCTGTGGTTCTGTCTGTGGTTATGTCTGTGGTGCTGTCTGTGGTCCTTTCTGTAATTCTGTCTGTAATCTATCTGTAGTTCTGTGTGTGGTTCTGTCTGTGGTTCTGTCTGTAATATGTCTGTAGTTCTGTCAGTAGTTCTGTCTGTAGTTCTGTCTGTAGTTCTGTCAGTACTTCTGTCTGTGGTTCTGTCTGTAGTTCTGTCTGTACTTCTGTCTGTGGTTCTGTCTGAAATCTGTCTGTAGTTCTGGTGTGGTTCTCTTTGTAGTTGTCTTTGTAGTTCTGTCTGTTGTTCTGTCTGTAATTCTGTCTGTAGTTCTGTGTGTGGTTCTTTCTGTAATATGTCTGTAGTTCTGTCTGTGGTACTGTCTGTAGTTCTGTTTCTGGTTCTCTTTGCTGTTCTGTCTGTAATCTTTCTTTGTAGTTCTGATTGTGGTTCTGTCTGTGGTTCTGTCTGTAGTTCTATCTGTAGTTCTGTCTATGGTCCTGTCTGTGTATTCCTGTCTGTTGTTCTGTCTGTGGTCCTTTCTGTAATTCTGTCTGTAATCTATCTGTAGTTCTGTCTGTGGTTCTGTCTGTGGTTCTGTCTGTAATATGTTTGTAGTTCTGTCTGTAGTTCTGTCTGTAGTTCTGTCTGTAGTTCTGTCTGTACTTCTGTCAGTACTTCTGTCTGTGGTCCTTTCTGTAATTCTGTCTGTAATCTATCTGTAGTTCTGTGTGGTTCTGTCTGTGGTTCTGTCTGTAATATGTCTGTAATTCTGTGTGTAATCTATCTGTTCTGTCTGTGGTCCTGTCTGTGGTCCTGTCTGTGGTCCTGTCTGTCGTTCTGTCTATGGTTCTGTCTGTAGTTCTGTCTGTAGTTCTATCTGTGGTTCTGTCTGTGGTTCTGTCTGTGGTTATGTCTGTGGTTCTGTCTGGGGTTATGTCTGTAGTTCTGTCTGTGGTTCTGTCTGTGGTTATGTCTGTGGTGCTGTCTGTGATCCTTTCTGTAATTCTGTCTGTAATCTATCTGTAGTTCTGTGTGTGGTTCTGTCTGTGGTTCTGTCTGTAATCTGTCTGTAGTTCTGTCAGTAGTTCTGTCTGTAGTTCTGTCTGTACTTCTGTCAGTACTTCTGTCTGTGGTTCTCTTTGTGGTCCTGTCTGTAGTTCTGTCTGTGGTTCTGTCTGAAATCTGTCTGTAGTTCTGGTGTGGTTCTCTTTGTAGTTGTCTTTGTAGTTCTGTCTGTTGTTCTGTCTGTAATTCTGTCTGTAGTTCTGTGCGTGGTTCTCTTTGTGGTTCTGTCTGTGGTTCTGTCTGTAATATGTCTGTAGTTCTGTCTGTAGTTCTGTCTGTAGTTTTGTCTGTAGTTTTGTCTGTAGTTCTGTCAGTAGTTCTGTCTGTACTTCTGTCAGTACTTCTGTCTGTGGTTCTCTTTGTGGTCCTGTCTGTAATCTGTCAGTAGTTCTACGTGTGGTTCTCTTTGTGGTTCTGTCTGTAATCTGTCTGTAGTTCTGCGTGTGGTTCTTCTTGTGGTTCTGTCTGTAGTTCTGGTGTGGTTCTCTTTGTAGTTGTCTTTGTGGTTCTGTCATTAATCTGTCTTTGTAGTTCTGTCTGTAGTTCTGTCTGTAGCTCTGTCAGTGGTTCTGTCTGTAGTTCTGTATGCGGTTCTTCTTGTGGTTCTGTCTGTAGTTCTGTGTGTGGTTCTCTTTGTTGTTGTCTTTGTGGTTCTGTCGTTAATCTGTCTGTAGTTCTCTTCTGTGCCACCAGGTATCACTGTGATGATGTTGATGATGTCACACTCATGTCACTGTCATCCAATCCCGTCGCGTTGTGATGTGCTCTGCAACTCGTTACCACGTCAACGGCTCCCGCCACCTGATGCTGCTGTCAATCATTCAGACATCACTCTCCTCCGAGGAAAGAGAGACAGAGAGATAGAGAGACAGAGAGACAGATAGAAGTGTGAAGGACCAGAGTGAACAGAAGACGAAGCTGACGATGAGCGGCAGAGAAGTGAAGGAGTACCTGTCTCAGCATCACCTCCCTCAGCTGCTGGAGGTGAGTTTCCTCTTTAGTTTCATGTTTCAATAGTTTTTGTCGAGTGACAAACGAGAGATTATCTCTGACATATCTGAAATCATCCATACTTGGATACACGTTGCTGCTGCCAACGTGACGAAACAATATCTACGTCTCCTGTCACTCACTCATCTACAGTGCTCCTTTGTTCTGTCTGTGGTTCTGTCTGTGGTTCTGTCTGGGGTTATGTCTGTAGTTCTGTCTGTAGTTCTATCTGTGGTTCTGTCTGGGGTTATGTCTGTAGTTCTGTCTGTAGTTCTGTCTGTGGTTATGTCTGTAGTTCTGTCTGTAGTTCTATCTGTGGTTCTGTCTGTGGTTCTGTCTGTGGTTCTGTCTGTGGTTCTGTCTGGGGTTATGTCTGTAGTTCTGTCTGTTGTTATATCTGTGGTTCTGTCTGTGGTTATGTCTGTGGTTCTGTCTGTGGTTCTGTCTGTGGTTCTGTCTGTGGTTCTATCTGTGGTTATGTCTGTGGTTCTGTCTCTGTGCAAGAAACGTAGTGTTCTAACACAAAACCAACAATGCTCATGCAAACAATGAAAAACGAGCCACATCAGGATGAAAATCACTGACTGGAAGAGATGAGGATCAACAGCACTCCAACTATATGCAGACATGATGGGCAGCACTCTACATGATAGAGAGAGAGAGAGCGAGAGAGAGAGAGCATCTTATTCAGTGACATAATCAGCTTTTCACTTTGAATACAGAAGATTTCCATTTACTTCCGGTAAAGGAGTCTGTTCCGTCACAGTGTTGATCTACTCAATAATAATTATAATAATAATAAAAGTAAAAGTAACTAAAACTCTATTTATATTTAGCAATGTGCTTCCCAGATACAAAATGATTATAAAAGCATTTAAACAAATAAAAACAATCCAAAGTAGAAATAGAGATCAGAACACAGCAGAGCAAGAAATAAAACACCTCTGAGAATAAGAAGAGCTTTAGATGAGATTTAAATTGTTTGTTGATTTGAACACCGGAGGGAGACTGGTCCATAATCTGGGAGCAATAAAACTGATCTAAAACCACTGTGACATCACACCACTTACCCCAGTGATTGGTCGGTTGTGTGCATGGGAGAAAGTAGGCGGGGTTTGAATATGTCAGTCACTTATAGAGATCAGGGAGGCAGCAGCAGGAGATGATGAATGACTCCTTTCAGATGTACTGAATGCTTCAATCTGTGTCTAAGAGTTTGTTAACAGGTCTCCTGTATCATCATCCTGAGGACCCCGTCAGCTTCCTGCAGAGCTGCCTGATCACAACCACACAGGTGGGGGGTCCTGAGGCTGTCACCTGGGACACCTTCATCCACCCCGAGAGACACCAGCTGAACCCCGGACAGCCCAGAACAACAACATCAATGCCTCCCAAAGCAACACCTCTACCCTCCACCATACCTCCTATGATACCATTAGTACTTCCAATAGAACCCCACATACCCCAAACAAGAACCCCATTACCCCTCAAAACAACACCTATACCACCTATAAAACCAAAAACAACACCCCCAATGCCCAAAATACCCCCAACAATGGCCCCTAAACCCCCCAAAATGACACCTATACCACCTATAAAACTCCAAACAACAACCCCCATACCCAAAATACCCCAAACAACAACCCATATACCCGAAATATCCCAAACAACGGCCCCTAAACCCGAAATACCCCAAACAACAGTCCCTATGCCCGAAATAACCCAAACAACAGCCCCTATTCCAGAAATACCCCAAACAACGGCCCCTAAACCCCCCAAAATGACACCTATACCACCTATAAAACTCCAAACAACAACCCCTGTACCCAAAATACCCCAAACAACAGCCCCTATACCCCCCAAAACACCACCTATACCACCTATAAAACCGCAAACAACAACCCCTATACCAGAAATACCCGAAACAACTGTCCCTATACCCCCCAAAACATCACCTCCTACCCTTTGGATAACAACCCCAAAATCCGTAGTTTCCTCCATCAACAATGAAATACTATCTGGACTCCCCAAAACAGCTCCTGAGCTCAAACCCCTTCCTCCAGCTCCACCTGTACCTGCCATGATCCCACCTGTCCACACTGAGAGGAAGGAACAGCGAGACACAAAGACATCCAGGACAGAAGGTAAAACAAAAGTTGAGGGTAACTGAGTTTCAGTGTCTATAAGGTGAGTTCTTCTGGGAATTGGGTTCACCAGAAGTATAGTTTTCTGCAATTTCAGATCGCTGAGATTTCCGTTCTCTAGGAGCTCAGTTAGAGTTCAGTTTTTCAGGAGTCCAGTTCTCCAAGAGTCCAGTTCTCAGAGAGTCTAGTTCTCCAGGAGTTCAGTTCAGTCTAAGGACACTTTTACAGAGTTTGCATGGCAATTCTTCCCAAGTACTTCAGAGTTTTTGTAACTTGTCACACTGTCCCTCCTCTCTGCTCCCCCTCCAGGTCTTCCTCCATCTCCAGCCTGGTCTCAGCTCTCCATTGACTCGGATTCTGACATGACGGAAAGTTCTGGACTCCTGCAGGAAGTCAGAATCCATCCTCCTCAGAGGCCAGGCCCTCTCATCATCTTCATCATTGGTAAGATAATCTGGGAGAAAACACAAAACCTAAGACATCTGAACCAGAACCCATAAGAGGTCTAAACCAGTGCCTCTCAAGCATTACTCTTTGTATGATCAAAGAAGGTCTCTTAACCCTTTATGAACTCTGATCTTGTGTTCAACACCACCTTCCATGTTGTCATTGAACGATCTTAATATTTATGGGTTTTATGCCTTTATTTGACAGCTGATGGTAGAAAGGGGTCAGGACTTGAGGGACAAAAGAATGGGGAATGATGTGGGCAGATGGAGTTAGAACTTTGCCATGAAGCCTTTCTGACAGAAAGCCTAAGCAAGTGGTTTTGGTGCCTAAACCTAACCAAACTCCAAAAGCACTTAATTATGTTCAGGAAAAGATTGTGATTTGAGATAAAATAATAAGCCAACATTGACTTTTTGTTTCACACAAGACACAAACAGTCTCAGTGGTGAAAGTACTGTGTTTGACCCATCCATCCACCCAAACCTTCTCACTACATGGACTTTGTTGGTCTTTATACCACATCAGCTGATTTTCTAAAGGCTTTTTAACAAAAAGCTCCTCCTTCGTGTTATAAAGATCACCAACCAGGTTCACACTGAGGACGTTGTGGTTTATGTGAGTTTCTGTCTTTTTAATGTTGGGTTCCGTCAGGTTATCAGGTAACAGTTGGCAGCAGGATTGGTGGTGACTTCCTGAAATCTTTGATCATAATGTTCATGTCAGAACACTCTTTTATTCCCATCAGGAGGTCCCGGAAGTGGGAAGGGAAGTCAGGCGGCTAGGCTAGCTCGTTGCTACAGCCTCAGAGTCGTCTCATTGGATGAGCTGCTAAGGAAGCAACTGCTAAGCCACACCTCCCCCAGCAAGAAGTGGAAGGTTATTTCAGAAATGATGGGTCATGGAGCGCTGGGACCACAGGTCAGGGTCAGCAAAAATTATCAACCACCAGTCATCACCTTCACCCAGACCTTGAACACAAGATTTAGCATGGACACTGTGAACAAAATCTCTGTCTGTAGGAGGAGATGACCTCAGAGTTGAGGCGACAGCTGATTGGTCAGCAGGTCAGAGGCTTCATTGTGGATGGGTTCCCTCGAGACATCCACCAGGCTCTCAGCTTCCAGGAACAGGTACACGATATCATGGAGTGCCCAACAGACTGCTCTGCAACTTTACACACTAATAATATATTTGGGTTTTACTGGGGTAACTGGAGCCGTTTAAACACATTATGGATATAAAAAAACAAAAACAAAAACAAATGTATGGCAGAACAGACCTGTTCCTGTTGCAAACTGATATAATACATTATGAACAAGTAAAAAAAACCCAATGAGAATGTTAAGAACACAGCAGTGACAAATAAAGAAAGACAGGAAGCAGGAAGTGGAATCATTAATGCTGTTCTCCCTGCCCACTCTGTTCAGCTTGGCTCTCCTGACCTGGTGATGCTGCTTCTCTGCTCCAATGAGACGCTGGGCTGCCGCCTGCAGCGACGAGCCACACGGCTCGGTCTTCTAGGCGACAATAGCCACGCCCTGCGGAGACACCTAGAGACGTTTCAGAGAGACATCGTCTCCATCAGCAGATACTACAGACAGCTACAACTGCTGACAGAGGTACGCCTGCTGACACCTGCTGACTGAAGTACGCCTGCTGACAGAGGTACGCCTGCTGACACCTGCTGACTGAAGTACGCCTGCTGACACAGGTACGCCTGCTGACACAGGTACGCCTGCTGACACAGGTACGCCTGCTGACAGAGGTACGCCTGCTGACACAGGTACGCCTGCTGACACAGGTACGCCTGCTGACTGAGGTACGCCTGCTGACTGAGGTACGCCTGCTGACAGCCTGCTGACTGAGGTACGCCTGCTGACAGAGGTACGCCTGCTGACACAGGTACGCCTGCTGACAGAGGTACGCCTGCTGACTGAGGTACGCCTGCTGACACAGGTACGCCTGCTGACTGAGGTACGCCTGCTGACACAGGTACGCCTGCTGACAGAGGTACGCCTGCTGACTGAGGTACGCCTGCTGACAGAGGTACGCCTGCTGACACAGGTACGCCTGCTGACACAGGTACGCCTGCTGACAGAGGTACGCCTGCTGACTGAGGTACGCCTGCTGACACAGGTACGCCTGCTGACACAGGTACGCCTGCTGATAGATGTACGCCTGCTGACAGAGGTACGCCTGCTGACACAGGTACGCCTGCTGACTGAGGTACGCCTGCTGACTGAGGTACGCCTGCTGACACAGCTACACCTGCTGATACAGCTATCATGCACGTTTGGGTCAGGAATCCAGTTATGAGAGTCATGATTCAGTGAGAGAAAGATGCCGGCTTTCTGTACTCTCTCCTCCATCTTACATCATAGAGGGCATGGGTAAGTGGAGAAGCTATTGTTGCTGTAATCTCTAACGCACTCCACCCTTCCTTCCACTCTTCATCACCTGAACAGACCTGGGTCAAGTGGGGTCCATCCCAGGGCCTTCCTTTAGTACAACAGGGGAATAGGACTAACAAGCTTGCTAACTGAGAGGTACGCCTGCTGACACAGGTACGCCTGCTGACACAGGTACGCCTGCTGACAGAGGTACGCCTGCTGACAGAGGTACGCCTGCTGACACAGGTACGCCTGCTGACACAGGTACGCCTGCTGACAGAGGTACGCCTGCTGACTGAGGTACGCCTGCTGACACAGGTACGCCTGCTGACAGAGGTACGCCTGCTGACTGAGGTACGCCTGCTGACAGAGGTACGCCTGCTGACACAGGTACGCCTGCTGACACAGGTACGCCTGCTGACAGAGGTACGCCTGCTGACACAGGTACGCCTGCTGACACAGGTACGCCTGCTGACAGAGGTACGCCTGCTGACTGAGGTACGCCTGCTGACACAGGTACGCCTGCTGACACAGGTACGCCTGCTGACACAGGTACGCCTGCTGACTGAGGTACGCCTGCTGACTGAGGTACGCCTGCTGACACAGCTACACCTGCTGATACAGCTATCATGCACGTTTGGGTCAGGAATCCAGTTATGAGAGTCATGATTCAGTGAGAGAAAGATGCCGGCTTTCTGTACTCTCTCCTCCATCTTACATCATAGAGGGCATGGGTAAGTGGAGAAGCTATTGTTGCTGTAATCTCTAACGCACTCCACCCTTCCTTCCACTCTTCATCACCTGAACAGACCTGGGTCAAGTGGGGTCCATCCCAGGGCCTTCCTTTAGTACAACAGGGGAATAGGACTAACAAGCTTGCTAACTGAGAGTTAGCGGTTAGCTCAGGAATACAGCAATAACCAACCCTGTGAGACCAAACGAGGACGTGGACACTTTCATGTTTCTGTGTCTGTGTGTGTGTGTGTAGGTGGACGCAGACAGAGATGAGGAGGTGGTGTTTGCTGATCTGAGTTCAGTCATCAGAGAGAAACTGCTTCTAAAGAACTCACCAGGTATTGATTGATTCCTTATTGATGAGGCCACTCCAGGACAGCTGGTTAGATGGTATACTTTGTTCTGTTGTGCTGGTACTTCCTCTAATTCACAGTCAGCTGTTAACTGATTTCTATTGATTGAGACAATAGAAACACTGATTGATTTGTTTCTGTATCTCTAGATCCTGCTGATATCCCAGAATGCAGCTGTGCAGTCCCTGCTGTCTCCTGTAACATTGCCTCCGTCAATCAATAACCCATGAACCAATTAGCATGGACCCTGAGCAGTCTCTTAGCAGTGTTCTTATTGGATAATGATGTTTATTACCTGTAAGATTTCATGTGTGATGTCCGAATGTGTGTCCCCATGTCTACCAGGGGCCTCATTTATAACCACTGCATATGTAAAAAAAAGGGTGTGAAACGTGCACATGCCACTTTGTAACACTCCAGCAACACTTCCCAGCTCATCCTAGGGGGCTCCAAGGTGTTCCCAGGCTAGATGAGATGTGAAATCTCTCCAGCAGGTTCTGGGTCTACACCGAGGTCTCCTCCGAGTTTTCAATGCCAAAAGGTCTCGAGCGGGAGTTAGCCCCCAGGTGCAGCCCCCAGGAGCGGGAGTTAGCTCCTATGTGCAGCGAGATTTAGCCCACAGGTGCAGCCGGAGTTTAGCCCACAGGTGCAGCCCCCAGGTGCAGCTGCAGTTAGCCCACAGTTGGAACGGCAGTAAGCCCACAGGTGCAGCCGGAGTAAGCCCACCGGTGCAGCGGGAGTTAGCCCCCAGGTGCAGCGGGAGTTAGCCCACAGTTGGAGTGGCAGTTAGCCCACAGGTGCAGCAGGAGTTAGCCCACAGCTGGAGTTGCAGTTAGCCCACAGGTGCAGCGAGAGTTAGCCCACAGTTGGAGTGGCAGTTAGCCCACAGGTGCAGCAGGAGTTAGCCCACAGTTGGAGTTGCAGTTAAACCACAGGTGCAGCGGGAATTAGCCCACAGTTGGAGTTGCAGTTAGCCCACAGGTGCAGCGGGAGTTAGCCCACAGTTGGAGTTGCAGTTAGCCCACAGGTGCAGCGGGAGTTAGCCCACAGTTGGAGTGGCAGTTAACCCACAGGTGCAGTGGGAGTTAGCCCACAGTTGGAGTTGCAGTTAGCCCACAGGTGCAGCGGGAATTTGCCTACAGTTGGAGTTGCAGTAAGCCCACAGGTGCAGCGGGAATTTGCCTACAGTTGGAGTTGCAGTAAGCCCACAGGTGCAGCGGGAGTTAGCCCACAGGTGCAGCGGGAGTTAGCCCACAGTTGGAGCGGCAGTTAGCCCACAGGTGCAGCAGGAGTTAGCCCACAGCTGGAGTTGCAGTTAGCCCACAGGTGCAGCGGGAGTTAGCCCACAGTTGGAGTTACAGTTAGCCCACAGGTGCAGCGGGAGTTAGCCCACAGTTGGAGCAGCAGTTAGCCCACAGGTGAAGGGGGAGTTAGCCCCCTAACAGTTGGAGCTGCAGTTAGCCCACAGTTGGAGCGGGAGTTAGCCCACAGTTGGAGTTGCAGTTAGCCCACAGGTGCAACGGCAGTTAGCCCACAGGTGCAGCTGCAGTTAGGCCACAGTTGGAGTTGCAGTTAGCCCACAGGTGCAGCGGCAGTTAGCCCACAGTTGGAGTTGCAGTTAGCCCACAGGTGCAACGGCAGTTAGCCCACAGGTGCAGTTGCAGTTAGGCCACAGTTGGAGTTGCAGTTAGCCCACAGGTGCAGCGGCAGTTAGCCCACAGTTGGAGTTGCAGTTAGCCCACAGGTGCAACGGCAGTTAGCCCACAGGTGCAGCTGCAGTTAGGCCACAGTTGGAGTTGCAGTTAGCCCACAGGTGCAGCGGCAGTTAGCCCACAGTTGGAGCTGCAGTTAGCCCACAGGTGCAGCGGGAGTTAGCCCACAGTTGGAGTTGCAGTTAGCCCACAGGTGCAGCTGCAGTTAGCCCACAGTTGGAGCTGCAGTTAGACCACAGGTGCAGCTGCAGTTAGCCCACAGGTGCAGCGGGAGTTAGCCCACAGTTGGAGTTGCAGTTAGCCCACAGTTGGAGTGGCAGTTAGCCCCCAGGTGCAACTGCAGTTAGCCCACAGGTGCAGCTGCAGTTAGCCCACAGTTGGAGTGGCAGTTAGCCCACAGGTGCAACTGCAGTTAGCCCACAGGTGCAGTGGGAGTTAGCCCACAGGTGCAGCTGCAGTTAGCCCACAGTTGGAGTGGCAGTTAGCCCACAGGTGCAGCTGCAGTTAGCCCACAGTTGGAGTTGCAGTTAGCCCACAGGTGCAGCTGCAGTTAGCCCACAGTTGGAGTTGCAGTTAGCCCACAGGTGCAGCGGCAGTTAGCCCACAGGTGGAGCTGCAGTTAGCCCACAGTTGTGTGTTTGTTGAGATCAGCAATATATCAAGTTTAGCTCCTGGGAATAAATCAAACTGGCTGTGTGCTTTCTGTCCTCACCATCCTCCTCTTCTTTCAGAGGAAGTCCTGCTGATATTCCTCTCGGTGGTTGTTTGTGTGATTCAGCAGTTTGTTCATGCTCTTCAGTATTCATGAGGAGCTCTGCATCAAAGCATTTATGGCTGAATGTGGGCGTGTAGAGGGCGTGGCCTGAGGCACACCAGTCCAGGTGCCCCGTGTTTCCCTGTCCCTGAGGCGTAGTGCACAATGTTTTATAAATGAGGCCCTGGTTAAAAAAAATGTGAAATGTGTCTGTAGTTTTAGAGAGAAGTTGTTACACGAGAAGAAGAAAGGGTGATGTTGTTGGTTTAAAGTAGAAAAATGTTAAATGTGCTGTATAAACTGGGTAGATGTGATTAGATCCGGTTCCTAAAGGATCTGGTGAACCTGTAACTTCAGATCATTTCATGTAAAGTTATTACGTGTTGTGATGTTCCATCTTTACTGACCGTTACTGTATTTCACCGCAACATAAAGGTCTGATCTACTGTAATAAATACTATATGAGTGTATTTACATGCTGTCATCGCGGCAGTGGCGAGCTGCCCACACTCAGGTTGTGGGTTTGAATCCCAGGTTACGTGCATGTGAGATTCTCAGGCCTCCGTGACTCTGAAGAACACGTCAGCAGATAAATAATTAGGAACACGGGTCAGCTGACTGTCTGATGTTTCTCTAAAACATGAAGCGAAGCCTCATCAGTCACAGCTGGCACGTCTTTAAACCCTGACAGGGTCGCAGACTGAAGGACACGCACAGCATCATGGGTAATCACTGTCCTTATCGCAGCAGGGAATGTTTCTAGTTTCCATTTCTGACGACACCTCAGGAGATAAAGAGACTGAAATAGACTGAAGAGACGCAGGCAGAGAGCCGAGACCAGAACAGAGACCACCTGGCCCCCCAGACTCTGACCAGCCTCACAACAACACTGATCGAGAAAACCACGTCAGAACGCAGCCTGAAGAACCCAGTTAGGAACATGCAGAGAACAAACTAACAGCAGAACGTTTTCTGTTCCTAAAATATCTCTCTGCTGTCAGAGACTGATCCTGACCGGGTCAGGTCCGGGCTCAGAGACTGATCCTGACCGGGTCAGGTCCGGGCTCAGAGACTGACCTGACCGGGTCCAGTTCCGGTCTCAGAGACAGATCCTGACCGGGTCCAGGTGCAGAGATGGACCGGGTCCAGGTCCGGACTCAGAGACAAATCCTGACCGGGTCAGGTCCGTGCTCAGAGACTGACCTGACCGGGTCTTTCCTGGACCTTTACCTGAAGATGGTGCTCGGCTCTGGTTCAGGTTCTTCTGGAAGCTTCCTGTTTTTAATTTTCTTAACTGAAGGCAAAATGTAATTGTTTTTTGTCTGACAAGATATTTCTTCTTACCAGGCGGCTTTATGTTAGAGAATTTCACTTGTTAACTAGCGAGTGAAATGTTCTTGTTCTGTTGGCAGATAATTTTGCTGATTTTAACGCTTTCTGTCCTTGTTTTTGAGGGCACAGTTTTTGCAGTGACTCAGTTGTGTTTCCATCACTTCTGGGGACTTTACATTGACACACAGACACAGAATACAGTACGTCTCTGAGGGCCCCCCTTGCTCTCTTGGCCCCTGTATCTTGTGCACATGTGGTGGTGATCAGGGAGCTCACTAACGAACCGTTAATCACATTTAAACACAGTCTGAAAGGTTTCTGTCACACAGACACTTCACCAGAGTCGAGTTTGCAGTCAGCTTTAAAGAAATTATTTATTATAAATTTAATTTGTTTTTGACTCAGCTTCAAACAGAAACACAAGCTTTTCATCCCAGGCTTTTGGAGGGCCCCCCTCCCCCCACTGGGGCCCTGGGTAGCCCCCATGTCCTCCGTGTCTTATCTTCTCTCTGAGTGCTTCTATTCCCGTTTGTTTCCATCTTTGGTCGGCTGTCCTCTCTCTCTCTCTGTCATTGTCCTCTGCCTCGCTCGCCCACCTCTGGCTGCTATAAAGCTCATCCGTCTCCGTCCGTCCTCTCTGCACGATGGCTCCGAAGAAAGTGGAACCGAAGAAGACGGAGGTGAAGAAGGTGGAGGCCAAGAAGGAGGAGCCCCCCCCGCCTCCCAAACCCGCCGAGCCGGAGCCTAAACCTCCTGAGGTGGACCTGAAGAGCATCGTGGTGGAGTTCACCCCGGACCAGATCGAAGAGTTCAGAGACGCCTTCACGCTGTTCGACGAGACGCCGGCGGGCGAGATGAAGATCACCTTCGCCCAGTGCGGGGACGTCATGCGGGCGCTCGGCCACAACCCCACCAACGAGGAGGTGCTGAAGCTGCTGGGGAGGCCGAAGGCGGAGGAGATGCACGCCAAGCTGCTGGACTTCGACAGCTTCCTGCCCATGCTGCAGCACGTGGCGCGCTCCAAAGAGCAGGGCACCTTCGAGGACTTCGTGGAGGGTCTGAGGGTCTTCGACAAGGAGGGCAACGGCACGGTGATGGGTGCCGAGCTCCGCCACGTCCTGTCCACGCTGGGAGAGAAGATGACGGAGAACGAGGTGGACCGGCTGATGATGGGACAGGAGGACACCAACGGACACATCAACTACACCGAGTTCGTCAAACACATCTTGGCCGGGTAGCAGACGCTGACGGGTTCTTCTTCTCTGGTGGACTGAGGTTCTGTCCGTCTCTGATGTATCCAGGATTAAATGTGTTTCCTCTCTGTAATAAAACACCTCTGGTCCTCCTCAGGGTCCTGGTTTTCCTTCAGCGCTCACACGTCTTCCTGAGCAGGTTCACTTCCAGCTGCAGCAGGTTTCTCTCTTTTCTCAGTGGCTCCGACACATTTCAGAAAAAGTGTACAACGGTCTGCTGTGTCCCACGCTATCAGTCCGTCATGTTGTTCTGGTTCTCTGTCGAACAGTCTGAGCCCCCTAAACATCCAGGCATCGGTTCACTGCAGACGTCACTACACGGTTGACCCTGATGTCAGACTCCATTAGACCTGAAGTGAGGAAGATATCTGTGATGTGGTGGGACTCAGACTGACACAGAGCTTTAGAGAGACTCAGGACTTACAGGCTTTAGCAGGAGACTTCAGAGTTTCACAGATGAGGATTTGAGAAATGAAGAAGAGTAAATGTTTTTGACAGCTGATTGATTCTGTAACAGTGTCGGCAAACAGCGGCCCGCGGGCCAAATCAGGTCCTTTAAAACGTCACATGGTTTCACTAATCTCCTGCAGATTTTTTATTCAAAATTAGGATATACAGCAGGAAAACAACATCTTCTGTACATCGGTAAAGTCTATGGACATATCACAAATAGGCCAGGGAGGTCAAGAGTTATGGAAAGCAAAATTATAAAGAGGTCATATGATTTAACAGCTTTTTTGTTTTTACACTCAGACATTGAAAGAACATAGTGCTTAATGTTTTTGTGTTTTGACTTGTGCAAATAAAATTTAGTTAAAATAATAAGTAAATTTATCACATAATATTCTGAATATAATGTTTTGTCATGTTTAGTGAATCCAAACAATACATTTACCCACCGCAATGCAAATTGAGGGTAAATATGGACAACAATAAACTGAGAAACTTTACTCCAAAGTTTGTTGGTATGTGGGCAAGACCAAAATAAATGCACCAGTGTTTCATTGAGTTCTCCACAGAAAGTACAGCTGATGTCCAAGTCTTTTTTCAGTTTTTGCAGGTAACCTTTAGTGGGATAAAATCTGTGAAGCATTTTGAATGAGATCTCTTTGACTTTGTTGGTTAAAAAAAACTTGTGTGGCAAAAGCCAAACTTTTTCCCAACAAATCTCTCCAACAAATGAAGACCAATATTATACAGCAGCGGGTGTACTCCTAATGTCCTGTTGAAAAGGTTGACGAATGGCCTTATTCTTACTCTTAGGTTGCAGTGAAAAACAGATATTCCCAACAGTTGTTTCTTTCACATCCACCAGTGTTGGGGGATCATCAGATCCATTAAAACCTTTGAAAAGTGAGATGACAGCTGAAGATATCGCATCGAAGACGATGGAGAAGTCCTTTGGTGAAACAGGGATACCATGGTGATACCATGTAGTTATAAAGTTGACCACGTTGGCTAAATAATTGATTTACAAGTAAAATATTATTGTCATACCACTGTCGAAAAAAAATAGATTTGTTTTTATACAAAATATATCTGTTGTTCCAGATATAAAACCTATGAGGAGTGAAGTTGTGCTTGTAAATTAGGGACCAAGCCAGTAGCATTTGTTTGTGAAACGAAGAAAGTTTCAGAGGAATTTTTTCAATATTATAAGTGCACAGCAACAAGAACTGGAGACCACCAACTGAAGAAAAGACATAATGTGGAATAAAATTCCACATACTGGTTGGGCAATTTAAATACCGCTTAATCCAATTAATCTTGAAAGTGAAATTTAAGGTAGTAAAGTCGAGAACACTAAGGCCACCTTTACTGTACTCATTCATTAAAACAGACTTTTTCAGATAATGATTGCGATTTTTCCATACAAAATCATAAAGGATTTTATCAATGGTTTTGCACATTTGTTGAAAGATAGGGCAGCGTATGTTACTCTTGAAATTCCTTCGGCCTTTGAGAGTAAAATCCTGCCTTTCAAAGACAGATCACGTAATAGCCACATGTTAAATTTCTTCTTCATTTTTTCGACAATGGGAGTGAGGTTATTCTTGCATCTTTGGGGTTCATTTTTATCAAATACAATACCTAAGTAAGTAATAGAGCTTTTCACAGGAATATTAGCAATTAACTCAACATCACAATCTTTAAGAGCCAGTAATTCACATTTTGTAAGGTTTAATGGGAGACTGGAGGCTTTACTGAAGACTTCTATTATGTCAATAGCAAGAGGAATCTGGGAGCTGTCTTTTAAAAACAGTGTTGTGTCTAATGACTAATAATGACCTGCAAATTACTATTTTTAATGTGTTCACATAAAAGTTGGGCTGCAAGTAAAAAAAGAAAGGGAGAAATAGGGCATCCCTGTCGAATTCCACGTCTGATTTCAAATCTGGCTGACGACCCATTTTTAAGTTTAATTTAACCATTTGCATTACTATACAGAGTTTTGACTGCATCACAAAAGAAATCCCCAAAGCCAAACTTCTTGAGTGAATGATAAAGAAAATTATGTTCGACGGTATCAAAAGAAAAACAAGAAGCTGTCATCTGAAATTAAATGTGAATAGTCAACTAAATCTAAGACTAATCTAATGTTGTTGGAGAAATGCCTCTTAGGCATAAAGCCTGACTGTGTTTCATCAATTATAGAATTTAATACTTTTTTTATTCTTCTAGCAAAGATCAAGGCCAAAATTTTGTAATCATTATTCAATAGGCTAATTGGACGCCAATTATCGATATAAAGTAAGTCCTTGTGTGGTTTAGGGAGTAAAGTAATCAAACCTTGAGTCATACTCCATGGGAAGGTTTTGGCTTTTATACTTTCATTAAATACCTGCAGTAAGAAGGGCGCCATCTGCTGGGAAAACTATTTATAAAATTGAGACGATTGACCATCTGTCCCAGGGGACTTGTTGTCTTTTAGCAGTTCTAAACATTGACTGACTTCTGCCAGGGATAAGGGGAGGTCACAAAAATCCCTCTCTGAGTTGTCCAGTTTAGGGGTATTATGTAGAGAATTGAGGAACATTGAAGCATCATCGTCAGAATATTCAGAGGTATATAATTTTATAAGGTCTCGGAAACAGTGGTTAGAGGAAGGGGTCAAAATTCTTCATACTTCTTCAAACTGGAAAAGTATCATGCAAAGATGAATACCATTAATGAATTAAAAACTGGCAACTCTATAAGTGATGATCAGCATTTAATATCTGATTTTTGTTCCTCCTTTTATAAAAAAGCTCCTTCTGCCTTCTTTGTATATATTTTATCCAGGCTCTCTTGTAGATTAAGCATTTCTATTTTCTCCTCCTCTGTTAAGACATCTGGTGATATTTGAGACATTACCGAGATGCCTGTGATAACTCTTTGTTCCTCTGATTTTCATTTTAGCAAGATTGCTACCAAGCTTCCTTAGGTATTTTGCTGATTCATATTTAAATAACTCCCAATTAACACTAAACAAATTTTCCAGCTTTGTTAAAAAATGTTTAATCCACTTTAAGAAGAGAATTATTTAGTTTCCAGTAATTGGCTTTATAAGCATTATCTGAAAATAATTTTATAGAGATGAGTACTGCTACCAGAAGTCTATTTGAGAAAGTCTAGAGTTGTCTTTGTTACTCCAGGTAAATGAATTACATCAGTTAAATCATACCTGTCCATAAAAAGCTTAAAATAAGCATTTCTATTGTTATCTTTTGTAGGTGGCCATCTGTCAATCTCAGAATTTAGAGTAACATTAAAGTCTCCTCCAAGGAAAATGTGAGAGTTTGGAAATTTTGTTAGCCAATGCTTTAGTCTATTTTCTGTTTTAACAAATAATTGGATATTTTCTAAATTAGAATTGTACCCGTAGATGTTGAAAATGATCAGAGTGTTATTTTATTCCCTCAGTAAACACTTTCCTGATGAGTTTCTGGTCTCAGTCGCTAGTTTCAAGTCTTCTTCAACACAGCATGATGTTCATTTAGTAAATTATGGTCCCATTTAGAGGAACAGAGACCAGGAAGCAGGGGAGGCTTTAGGGACTGACAAGTCTCTATGGACGAACCTTGCAAACCAAGCTAGATTGACAAAATGCCGAACTCGAGGCTTCAAAAGGTAGTCTGCAAACCAAAGAGTGACGTCACGTGACTACGCCACTTCTTTTATACCGTTTATGGCTGATGGTGTTTGTATTTGGATGGTGCCGGGGTAGAGTCATCGCCCTGCGAACAGCAGGACCGGGAATCTAATCCAGGTCAGAACAAACCTCCAGTGAGGGTCCCCAGACCCCTAATGCTATACGGGCAAGCCGGAACATGTTCCTGTCCCTTTGGATGAAGGTAAATGAGTAAGTGGCCAACAACCAATAAAGAACTTCAATCAATCCTCACGGTCTCTTTATCCAACAGGTGAGCAGACAAACCTCAGATACACGTTTTTAATCATCTTCTGTGACAGAACAGCATTTTCAGTCTAGTAATTCACACAAACTTCACTAACTAACTACAAAGTTACTGAGGCAGAAAATCAAGAAACAGACGGTCGTTATTTCTTTTCCAAAGATCCTGATGTTCAGACGTCAGCTCTTTGGCTCGTCTGCTGGTTTTAGTGAACACATTTATAACGTGAAGGACAACAAGCCTCTCCTGTGTGACCACCATATCAGCAGGCTAAAGGCTAACTTCAATATGCTAACATGCTGATGTTTAGCAGGTTCACCATCTTTGTTTAGTGTGCTAGCATGCTAACATTAGTTTATTAGCATTAAACACAGAGTAACTCCAACAGTGACTTAAAACACTTCAGGTTTCACAGACTTAAAATTAGAAGTTTTAGAACCGAAACAAACATTTGACTCAGTGGGTTAAAGCTGATAAACTGATTACTCAAACAATACTGAGGAGGTTCGCTGTCACTACGAAACAAACAAAGAAGCTGTGAAGGATCTGAGCAACAGGTGGAGAAAACACTGGATCCTACATTTCCCATAATGCAACTGGATAGTTTCTTTTAATTAGCCGGCTCTTCTTGGAACAGATGACAGCCGATTGGTTGACCATCAGTCTGACCCCGCCTCTGTCGTCTTCTCACTCACGATTGGCCGACAGGCACAGACCCAGCTCCGCTGTCAGTGGCCACCTCTGTGGCTGTATGTGTGTGCTGATTGGCCAGCTGGGCGTAGAGGCGGGACCTGAGGAATCGTGGGTAACTGTCTGTGACCATCAAGCCGAAAATCTGATCCTGGGCCAGCTGGAAGGAGGAGGGTTTAACGCCAAGACGCAGGCTCTGATTGGTGGCTTCTCTGACGGATGAGTCCACGTTCACCTGCAGACAGAACGCAGCGGCGTCACATGACCAGTAGTTTAGTCGTTTAGAAGGGACAGCGTACAGTAGAACAAACGTTTCCATTTGTTGCACCAGTAATTTACATTTACTCATTTGGTAAAACTTTTATCCAAAGCGAGTTACATTTGAGGAACAACACCAACACAGTAAGAGATCTAGACCTGACAGTAGATATTACTAAGCTGTGAGGGGATAGAAGAAGAAGAGCACAGGAAGTGCATGTTAGGAGTTAGAGGTGTTATCAGAGGAAGGGTTCTCAGAAGAGATGAGTTATCAAGAGCTTCTTGAAGTCAGAGAGGGACGCTCCTGCTCTGATGGCGTGTGGTAGCTCGTTCCACCATCATGGTGTCACAGATGAGAACAGGGACTGGGATTGCTTTGTGTGAAGGGACGGCAGAGCCAGGCGGCGTTCGTTGGAGGAGCGTAGCGGCCCAGAAGGAACGTAGGCTTGGATTATGGAATTTAGGTAGATGGTGCAGACCCAGTAGTCACTCTGTATGCAGGATTAGGGACTTGGATTTGATTCTGGAGGCCCCGGGGAGCCAGTGGAGGTCACTGAGTAATGGAGGGACATGAGTCCTTTTGGGCTGATCAAAAACCAGACGCGCTGCTGCGTTCTGAACCATTTGTAAGGGTTTCACCGCACAAGGTAGAAGACCTGCTAGGAGGGCAGAGGGATTAGGCCTGTATCAGAAGCTGGGTGGCGTACTGACGGCTACGGGTCAACAGTCCTGATACTTCGCTCTCAGTGAGAGGAGTAAACGAGGAGAGTGAATTGACCTGGGAGGGCAGAGGAACAGATGTAGTAGGACTGCTACATGTTAGCCTTGGTGGAGGGAGATGGAGGGAGATGGAGGGAGATGGAGGGAGACGGAGGGAGACGGAGGGAGACATGTATAAGGACTGTGAGATGGGGGGTTTTCTTGTGCTGTGCTCACAGTTCTGGCAGCACTGATGCTGGTTGAGAAGGAGGATAGGAGCAGCTGGTATCCCTTAAGGTCGGCAGGGTCTTTGGTTTTTACCATTTTCGTTCAGCGGCTCTGAGATCAGTACGCAGCCCACGGATGGTAGCAGTTGCCACGGGTGGAACTGGTTCTGGCGAGCAGGCTTGGTGTGTAGAGGACACAGGCTATCCAGGCACAGGCTCAGTGTAGAGCGCAGAGACTGGGCGGCATCATTGACCTCGAGTGAGGAAAACGTGTTGAGGGGAGTTAGAGCGGAGGCTACCACCGAGGCAAAGTGAGCGGGAGACACGTCACGGAGGTTGCGGCGGTGCGAGACGTCCGGTGCCGGAACAATGGGCTGTTTCTAACTACAGACTTCAGAGCGCAGACCGACAGACTGTACCTGTCTCGCTGCGCTGGTGGAAATGAACTCGTCGTAGATTTTCGCAGCTCTAGTGGCCATCTTGCTCAGGGGGCGTGTCCTCTTGAACCTCTCCACAGCCAACCAGAAGTCCAGGTTCTCCTCGCTGAACTCTGACCTCAGGAAGTGACGGAACACCGCCAAACCATCTGACCAATAGGAAGAGAGCAAAGGGACAGTTCAGCCAATAGAGACAGACTGTCATACCACGTAGGCCTGTCCCCTCACTGATTATTGGTTAAATACAGAGACAAACAGGAAGCGATGTGTCTTACACTGATTGGTCAGCAGAGCTTCCAGACTCTCAGCCCACCTCAGCACCTCCCTTGTAGACGGTCTGAAAAATAAAACAAATGCACCTCAGACACACTGGAACCAGCAGGAACTAAACTGAATCATTAAGAAGAAACTGGACCCATCTGAAACCATTAGGACCCAAGAAGGAACCAAACGTGACCAGCAGGAACCAGTAGGAACACATTAGAACTAGCTGGAACATGTTAGAACCAGTAGACACCAGTTGGAACCGGCTGACTTTAGTCAAAACCAGTAGAGCTATGCTGGAACCAGTAGTGGGACCTTGTTGGAACCAACTGGAACCAGTCAGCACGAGAGTCAAGTTAGACAGTATAAACCAAGATCTTCAGATCCTGTCTGAGGGTTCAGGCTTGGTTTTAGGGTTCACGTTAGGATCAGGTTTAGGATCAGGGATCGGGGCTCCTACCTGTTGTTTCTCAGGGCTTTCTCCAAACTGTTACTATGGACGCAGGTACTCTTCTTCCGTGGCCGTAGAAACGCCAGGCGGCTCCGAACATCAGCGGCTCTGAGGAGACGATGATGATGAGTGACAGGAAGTGCAATCAAACCCTAACCTCTGATTCTTAGTATTCCATCTTAGGCCCCGCCCACTCTGAGATACCAGAAATAACCATGAGTCCTGATTGGAACTCTCTTGATTTGACTAACAGCTGTGGGACCCACTGCACATGCTCAGTAGAGAGTGTGTGTACATACAGACTCTTGGTCTTCTTCCTCAGTTGAAGGTTTCTGAACTCCGGATCCTGAACAAACAAAACAACAACTGTCAGACTCTACCTGGTTCTACTGGTCTCCTCTTTCCTCTACTGGTCTCTACTGGTCTCCCTTTTCCTCTACTGGTCTCTACTGGTCTCCTCTTTCCTCTACTGGTCTCCCTTTTCCTCTACTGGTCTCTACTGGTCTCCTCTACACTCTACTGGTCTCCTTTTTCCTCTACTGGTCTCTACTGGTCTCCTCTTTCCTCTACTGGTCTCCTTTTTCCTCTACTGGTCTCTACTGGTCTCCTTTTTCCTCTACTGGTCTCTACTGGTCTCCTCTTTCCTCTACTGGTCTCCTTTTTCCTCTACTGGTCTCTACTGGTCTCCTTTTTCCTCTACTGGTCTCTACTGGTCTCCTCTTTCCTCTACTGGTCTCTACTGGTCTCCCTTTTCCTCTACTGGTCTCTACTGGTCTCCTCTACACTCTACTGGTCTCCTCTTTCCTCTACTGGTCTCTACTGGTCTCCCTTTTCCTCTACTGGTCTCTACTGGTCTCCTCTACACTCTACTGGTCTCTACTGGTCTCCTCTACACTCTACTGGTCTCTACTGGTCTCCTCTTTCCTCTACTGGTCTCTACTGGTCTCCTTTTTCCTCTACTGGTCTCTACTGGTCTCCTCTTTCCTCTACTGGTCTCTACTGGTCTCCTTTTTCCTCTACTGGTCTCTACTGGTCTCCTCTACACTCTACTGGTCTCTACTGGTCTCCTTTTTCCTCTACTGGTCTCTACTGGTCTCCTCTTTCCTCTACTGGTCTCCTTTTTCCTCTACCCTCTACTGGTCTCCTTTTTCCTCTACTGGTCTCTACTAGTCTCCTCTGTACTCTACTGGTCTCCTCTTTCCTCTGCTGGTCTCTACTGGTCTCCTCTTTCCTCTACTGGTCTCCTTTTTCCTCTACTGGTCTCTACTGGTCTCCTCTTTCCTCTACTGGTCTCCTTTTTCCTCTACTGGTCTCCTCTTTCCTCTACTGGTCTCTACTGGTCTCCTCTATACTCTACTGGTCTCCTCTTTCCTCTACTGGTCTCCCTTTTCCTCTACTGGTCTCCTCTTTCCTCTACTGGTCTCCTCTTTCCTCTACTGGTCTCCCTTTTCCTCTACTGGTCTCTACTGGTCTCCCTTTTCCTCTACTGGTCTCTACTGGTCTCCTCTTTCCTCTACTGGTCTCCTTTTTCCTCTACTGGTCTCTACTGGTCTCCTTTTTCCTCTACTGGTCTCTACTGGTCTCCTTTTTCCTCTACTGGTCTCTACTGGTCTCCTTTTTCCTCTACTGGTCTCTACTGGTCTCCTTTTTCCTCTACTGGTCTCTACTGGTCTCCTTTTTCCTCTACTGGTCTCTACTGGTCTCCTCTACACTCTACTGGTCTCCTCTATACTCTACTGGTCTCCTCTATACTCTACTGGTCTCCTCTACACTCTACTGGTCTCCTCTATACTCTACTGGTCTCTACTGGTCTCCTCTATACTCTACTGGTCTCCTCTATACTCTACTGGTCTCCTCTATACTCTACTGGTCTCTACTGGTCTCCTCTATACTCTACTGGTCTCTACTGGTCTCCTCTATACTCTACTGGTCTCTACTGGTCTCCTCTATACTCTACTGGTCTCTACTGGTCTCCTCTATACTCTACTGGTCTCTACTGGTCTCCCTTTTCCTCTACTGGTCTCTACTGGTCTCCCTTTTCCTCTACTGGTCTCTACTGGTCTCCCTTTTCCTCTACTGGTCTCTACTGGTCTCCTTTTTCCTCTACTGGTCTCTACTAGTCTCCTCTTTAGTCTACTGGTCTCCTCTATTCGACGGGTCTCCACTGGTCTCCTGTGGAACTCCGCCCTAGTCTCAGCTGGTCTGTCCTAGTCTCTGCTGGTCTGTCCTAGTCTCTGCTGGTCTGTCCTAGTCTCAGCTGGTCTGTCCTAGTCTCTGCTGGTCTGTCCTAGTCTTTGCCGGTCTGTCCTAGTCTTTGCCGGTCCTACCTTGGAGCCGTTGAGCAGCAGCAGCATGTGGTGCAGAGACCTGCCCTCTCTGGTCAGCTGTTTCCTGAGGGTGTGGATGGAGGGGGGGCGGTGGCCCGGGCATGTGACGGGGTCGAGGTCAAAGGTCGTCGGGCGGGTGAGTCTATGGATGGTGCTGTCGGACAGGAAGCGGGGCGATCGAGGCTCCTGCAGTAGAGAACCCTCAGAGAGAGAGCGACGCAGAACTGAAACAGGAAACAACAGCAGTGTTTTTATTCAGCTGACACCTCAAACAGGCCAGGAGACCTTTTTACACCCAGAAACATTAAACCTGCTGCAGCGCCGACTAAGAACACTGAAGAGGAGCTTCAACAGGCTCTCTGATTCTGTTCGTGGACACCTTTAACACCCGAAACCTGTCAGACTGACCTGCAGGTCTGCAGCAGGGGAGAAACTCCTCAGCGCCTCCTTCCTCCTCGTCTTCATCACTCTCCTCCTCCTCCTGCTCCTCCTTCATGTTGAAGTGGTAGGGGCCGAGCAGGAGGCGCCGCCCCCCTACACCTCCGGTGTTCTCTGATGTTTCCGAGGCGCTCTCCCCCTCTCCTTGCTGCCGCTCTTCCACCTCTTCCTCTGCTCCTCCTCTCTCCTTCCAGACCAGACTCCTCTGGGTGGAGGAGGAGGAGGAGGGAGGCGGAGGGAGGAGGTGAGGTGGGGTGATGAAGGTTCTGGAAGGAGGTGAGGAAGACGTGGTGCATGGGGAGAGAGAGGAGAAGTGGGGAAGAGGAGTGGAGGAGGAGGAGAAGGGAGAGCTGGGGGAGTAAGTGGAGGGGGAGGGAGGTCTGAGGGAGTCACAGAGAGAGGAGTAGGGGGAGGAGGGGCGGAGGAGGGGAGGATCAGAAGAGGAGTAAGGAGCGGAAGGATGATAGATGAGGTCGGACTGACGGAGAGAGAGGAGGCCAAGGTCTGAGGGGAGGTCTGAGAGCTGAGGAGGAGGAGGAGAGAAGAGGGCGAGAGAAGACGAGAGGAGGAGGAGAGAAAGAGGAGGAGGTAAGATGCAATGCTGCCATAGAGGAGTCACAGATCAACAACATGCGGCTGAAATCCTGTCATGTGACGCTACGTTGGCGTTACTTCAGACGCGCTTCGATCTGTTCCTGGACCTGGACCTGGACCTGGACCTGGACCTGGACCTGGACCTGGACCTGGACCGACGCTGACGCCTCGTCTCTCCTTTAAACATTAGTCTAACGGCTCGTTGCTTTGAACTGTTGTTGACTTGATGTGACGCCCTGCATGTCGAAAACAACACTTGATAAGACGTGTTTTCACACCTCCTCTAGCTCTGTCCACCTCCTCTAGCTCTGTCCACCTCCTCTAGCTCTGAGTGCACCTCCTCTAGCTCTGATGTCCACCTCCTCTAGCTCTGTCCACCTCCTCTAGCTCTGAGTGCACCTCCTCTAGCTGTGATGTCCACCTCCTCTAGCTCTGTCCACCTCCTCTAGCTCTGAGTGCACCTCCTCTAGCTGTGATGTCCACCTCCTCTAGCTGTGATGTCCACCTCCTCTAGCTCTGAGTGCACCTCCTCTAGCTCTGAGTGCACCTCCTCTAGCTCTGATGTCCACCTCCTCTAGCTCTGATGTCCACCTCCTCTAGCTCTGATGTCCACCTCCTCTAGCTCTGAGTGCACCTCCTCTAGCTCTGAGTGCACCTCCTCTAGCTCTGATGTCCACCTCCTCTAGCTCTGATGTCCACCTCCTCTAGCTCTGAGTGCACCTCCTCTAGCTCTGAGTGCACCTCCTCTAGCTGTGATGTCCACCTCCTCTAGCTCTGATGTCCACCTCCTCTAGCTCTGATGTCCACCTCCTCTAGCTCTGATGTCCACCTCCTCTAGCTCTGATGTCCACCTCCTCTAGCTCTGATGTCCACCTCCTCTAGCTCTGAGTGCACCTCCTCTAGCTCTGATGTCCACCTCCTCTAGCTCTGAGTGCACCTCCTCTAGCTCTGATGTCCACCTCCTCTAGCTCTGATGTCCACCTCCTCTAGCTCTGAGTGCACCTCCTCTAGCTGTGATGTCCACCTCCTCTAGCTCTGAGTGCACCTCCTCTAGCTCTGATGTCCACCTCCTCTAGCTCTGAGTGCACCTCCTCTAGCTCTGATGTCCACCTCCTCTAGCTCTGAGTCCACCTCCTCTAGCTGTGATGTCCACCTCCTCTAGCTGTGATGTCCACCTCCTCTAGCTCTGAGTCCACCTCCTCTAGCTGTGATGTCCACCTCCTCTAGCTCTGATGTCCACCTCCTCTAGCTCTGATGTCCACCTCCTCTAGCTGTGATGTCCACCTCCTCTAGCTCTGAGTCCACCTCCTCTAGCTCTGATGTCCACCTCCTCTAGCTCTGAGTCCACCTCCTCTAGCTCTGAGTCCACCTCCTCTAGCTCTGATGTCCACCTCCTCTAGCTCTGATGTCCACCTCCTCTAGCTCTGATGTCCACCTCCTCTAGCTCTGATGTCCACCTCCTCTAGCTCTGATGTCCACCTCCTCTAGCTCTGAGTGCACCTCCTCTAGCTCTGAGTGCACCTCCTCTAGCTCTGATGTCCACCTCCTCTAGCTCTGAGTGCACCTCCTCTAGCTCTGAGTGCACCTCCTCTAGCTCTGAGTCCACCTCCTCTAGCTCTGAGTCCACCTCCTCTAGCTCTGATGTGCACCTCCTCTAGCTCTGAGTGCACCTCCTCTAGCTCTGAGTGCACCTCCTCTAGCTCTGATGTGCACCTCCTCTAGCTCTGAGTGCACCTCCTCTAGCTCTGAGTCCACCTCCTCTAGCTCTGATGTCCACCTCCTCTAGCTCTGATGTCCACCTCCTCTAGCTCTGATGTCCACCTCCTCTAGCTCTGAGTGCACCTCCTCTAGCTGTGATGTCCACCTCCTCTAGCTCTGATGTCCACCTCCTCTAGCTCTGATGTCCACCTCCTCTAGCTCTGATGTCCACCTCCTCTAGCTCTGAGTCCACCTCCTCTAGCTCTGAGTGCACCTCCTCTAGCTCTGAGTGCACCTCCTCTAGCTCTGAGTGCACCTCCTCTAGCTGTGATGTCCCAGTTAAGAAGAGACTGGTGAGATAAAATGATTCAGGAGAAAGTTTTTGGCCTGAGATTTAAGAGGACACAGACTTGGACATCAGCGGCGTGAGCCGGGGCTTCATCCATCGCGAGGAATTTCGGAGTTTTCCCGTCTCGCCACGTCTGACTACGACCTCCCACCAGTAGGAGGGCCGACCCTAAGCTGTCTGTCTGAGCCAAGGGGGTAAGCCAGAGATCGGACAGTGAAGCCGACCAAAGCCTGCAAGGACGGTTCTATGTAGGCCCAAAAATGACCCTGTGACACCCCGTCGCACACGAGAGACGTACCCGGACTGCTCAGATTATAAACTCTGTGAATCTAAAACAACTATTCGGCCATACGTGACGCTGCGTTGGTGTTTGGCAGGTGAGCCTCGGAGGCGGGCTGACAAACACACTGAGCCGAGAAACTTTTTGTTTGTGCCGCTATGCAGCTACCAGAATTACGGTGTTTCTGCCGTTGCCACGGTTATGCTGCGCGATCACGCGCAGTAGACGCTGGTGCCGACAGGAAGTGGCCCTGTAGTGGTATTGTATTAACAGGCTGCTCGCCGTTCAAACCAGCAGGGGGCTTCGTCCAGTCAGATACTGTCTATGGTCTGAGCTATGGCGAGCTGGTTCACCTTCCTGTGGGGTGGGTAGGTGTGTTTACAGGGGTGTCTGTGGCGTACCTGGTGGGTGTGTCCGCTCTCCTGGGCGACCAGCTGTAGTTGGATGTTGTCATGGAGACAGAGACTGACCCTGACCTTCTGCTCGATGCTGAAGGCCTCCAGACTGAAGAGACAGCGCCAGCAGCTCTGCGCGCTCTGCAGGAAGTAGATCTGGAGCGGCTCTGACGACACTGAACACACCACAACACACCGATCAGCCATAACATTACGACCCCCCCGCCTGATACTGCTGGGCCCTTCTGACCGCAGGGGCCAAGGGTTCCAGCAGAACATGGTCCAAAGCATCGCACTAGTAGCTTCGCCCCCCCGACCCTGTCCCCGGTTCGCAGTTCGCAGCTGTGACTTCTGGACCCCATTCTGAGAGGTTCTGACCCAGTTCTCGAGCCATCACAGTTTGGTTCTTGTCAGAGTGGCTCAGATCCTCACGCTGCCCATTGGTCCTGCTTCAACATCAACTCTGAGGACACGAGGTTCACCTGCTGCTGATGGGGTCCTGGAGATACGAGGTAATGCTCTGTGGTGATGTCATAGTGAAGTCAGGTCTAACTGTGTTTCTGTGTGAACCAATCAGGACCCAGACTGTGGACCTGTCTTTACTACAGCAGCAACAGGAAGCTCAGAGACAAAACGGGAAGTGGAACAAACCAAAAAACGCGTGCGTGCGTGCGTGCGTGCGTGCGTGCGTGCGTGCGTGCTAACCCTCTCTGAGCTGCAGTGTGTTCAGGTACAGTGGGCTCTGTAGGACGTTGCAGCGTCCAGCTTCGTCCTCTCTGGTGAACAGCAGCAGGTCACTGTAGATCAACACGGTCACCTGACACACACAGAAAGAGAAAGAGAAAAAGTGAGCGTGACGGTTCTACATTTGTGTCTCACTGTCGTCATGAGTAGCTCAGTGTCCCAGCAGTTCCACCAGGCTCTAACGAGAACCCGCTGCTGGTTCTGTGAGCAGCGTATCACTTGATGTTGCCCAGTGATTCAGCCTGTTGCTCTCGGTTGCAGCGCTGCCGTTCTACACCAATAAGATCCAAGATTTCCTCCAGCTAACAGGGCCAATCTAATGCATTTCCTTATTGATAGCGAATAATGGCGTCTGTTTAAAACCATGTGCAGGACGCCGTGTGTTTTAAAGAAGTATTTTACCATAAATATTTATTCATTATTTTGGACGCGCCGCACATTTCTCGCGCCGCGGCACCTAATCATTTACAAGCTAAGCTGTGATGTTGTCCAATAAGAATTCAGAATCTTAAACAGACTGGCGCATTGACAGGACAGAGGCAGAGGAGAGAGGGTGAAATCAGCTGGCCGGTGTGGGCGGGGAATCAGGCCAAACTGAACCAAACTGTGTTAGCGGTTAGCATGTGAGGTCACTTTGACCTCTGCTGCTGTGTTAGCGGTTAGCACGTGAGGTCACTTTGACCTCTGCTGCTGTGTTAGCGGTTAGCACGTGATGTCATGATGTCACTTTGACCTCTGCTGCTGTGTTAGCGGTTAGCACGTGATGTCACTTTGGCCTCTGCTGCTGTGTTAGCGGTTAGCACGTGATGTCACTTTAACCTCTGCTGCTGTGTTAGCGGTTAGCACGTGATGTCATGATGTCACTTTGACCTCTGCTGCTGTGTTAGCGGTTAGCACGTGATGTCACTTTGACCTCTGCTGCTGTGTTAGCGGTTAGCACGTGATGTCACTTTGACCTCTGCTGCTGTGTTAGCGGTTAGCATGTGATGGTTAGCATGCGGCACGCGGTTAGCATGTGATGTCATGATGTTAGCGGTTAGCATGTGATGTCATGATGTTAGCGGTTAGCATATGATGTCATGATGTCACTTTGACCTCCGCTGCTGTGTTAGCGGTTAGCATGTGATGTCATGATGTCACTTTGGCCTCTGCTGCTGTGTTAGCGGTTAGCACGTGATGTCACTTTGGCCTCTGCTGCTGTGTTAGCGGTTAGCACGTGATGTCACTTTAACCTCTGCTGCTGTGTTAGCGGTTAGCACGTGATGTCATGATGTCACTTTGACCTCTGCTGCTGTGTTAGCGGTTAGCACGTGATGTCACTTTAACCTCTGCTGCTGTGTTAGCGGTTAGCACGTGATGTCACTTTGACCTCTGCTGCTGTGTTAGCGGTTAGCACGTGATGTCACTTTGACCTCTGCTGCTGTGTTAGCGGTTAGCACGTGATGTCATGATGTCACTTTGGCCTCTGCTGCTGTGTTAGCGGTTAGCACGTGATGTCACTTTGACCTCTGCTGCTGTGTTAGCGGTTAGCGCGTGATGTCACTTTGACCTCTGCTGCTGTGTTAGCGGTTAGCACGTGATGTCACTTTGACCTCTGCTGCTGTGTTAGCGGTTAGCACGTGATGTCATGATGTCACTTTGACCTCTGCTGCTGTGTTAGCGGTTAGCACGTGATGTCACTTTGACCTCTGCTGCTGTGTTAGCGGTTAGCGCGTGATGTCACTTTGACCTCTGCTGCTGTGTTAGCGGTTAGCGCGTGATGTCACTTTAACCTCTGCTGCTGTGTTAGCGGTTAGCACGTGATGTCATGATGTCACTTTGACCTCTGCTGCTGTGTTAGCGGTTAGCACGTGATGTCACTTTAACCTCTGCTGCTGTGTTAGCGGTTAGCACGTGATGTCACTTTGACCTCTGCTGCTGTGTTAGCGGTTAGCACGTGATGTCACTTTGACCTCTGCTGCTGTGTTAGCGGTTAGCACGTGATGTCATGATGTCACTTTGACCTCTGCTGCTGTGTTAGCGGTTAGCATGTGATGTCATGATGTTAGCGGTTAGCATGTGATGTCATGATGTTAGCGGTTAGCATGTGATGTCATGATGTTAGCGGTTAGCATATGATGTCATGATGTCACTTTGACCTCCGCTGCTGTGTTAGCGGTTAGCATGTGATGTCATGATGTCACTTTGACCTCTGCTGCTGTGTTAGCGGTTAGCACGTGATGTCACTTTGACCTCTGCTGCTGTGTTAGCGGTTAGCACGTGATGTCACTTTAACCTCTGCTGCTGTGTTAGCGGTTAGCACGTGATGTCACTTTGACCTCTGACCTCTGCTGCTGTGTTAGCAGTTAGCGCGTGATGTCACTTTGACCTCTGCTGCTGTGTTAGCGGTTAGCACGTGATGTCACTTTGACCTCTGCTGCTGTGTTAGCGGTTAGCACGTGATGTCACTTTGACCTCTGCTGCTGTGTTAGCGGTTAGCACGTGATGTCATGATGTCACTTTGACCTCTGCTGCTGTGTTAGCGGTTAGCACGTGATGTCATGATGTCACTTTGACCTCTGCTGCTGTGTTAGCGGTTAGCACGTGATGTCACTTTGACCTCTGCTGCTGTGTTAGCGGTTAGCACGTGATGTCACTTTGACCTCTGCTGCTGTGTTAGCGGTTAGCACGTGATGTCATGATGTCACTTTGACCTCTGCTGCTGTGTTAGCGGTTAGCACGTGATGTCATGATGTTAGCGGTTAGCATGTGATGTCATGATGTTAGCGGTTAGCACGTGAGGTCACTTTGACCTCTGCTGCTGTGTTAGCGGTTAGCACGTGATGTCACTTTGGCCTCTGCTGCTGTGTTAGCGGTTAGCACGTGATGTCACTTTGACCTCTGCTGCTGTGTTAGCGGTTAGCACGTGATGTCACTTTGACCTCTGCTGCTGTGTTAGCGGTTAGCACGTGATGTCACTTTGACCTCTGCTGCTGTGTTAGCGGTTAGCACGTGATGTCATGATGTTAGCGGTTAGCATGTGATGTCATGATGTCACTTTGACCTCTGCTGCTGTGTTAGCGGTTAGCACGTGAGGTCACTTTGACCTCTGCTGCTGTGTTAGCGGTTAGCACGTGATGTCACTTTGACCTCTGCTGCTGTGTTAGCGGTTAGCACGTGATGTCACTTTGACCTCTGCTGCTGTGTTAGCGGTTAGCACGTGATGTCACTTTGACCTCTGCTGCTGTGTTAGCGGTTAGCACGTGATGTCATGATGTCACTTTGACCTCTGCTGCTGTGTTAGCGGTTAGCACGTGAGGTCACTTTGACCTCTGCTGCTGTGTTAGCGGTTAGCGCGTGATGTCACTTTGACCTCTGCTGCTGTGTTAGCGGTTAGCACGTGATGTCACTTTAACCTCTGCTGCTGTGTTAGCGGTTAGCACGTGATGTCATGATGTCACTTTGACCTCTGCTGCTGTGTTAGCGGTTAGCATGTGATGTCATGATGTTAGCGGTTAGCATGTGATGTCATGATGTCACTTTGGCCTCTGCTGCTGTGTTAGCGGTTAGCACGTGATGTCACTTTGACCTCTGCTGCTGTGTTAGCGGTTAGCACGTGAGGTCACTTTGACCTCTGCTGCTGTGTTAGCGGTTAGCACGTGATGTCACTTTGACCTCTGACCTCTGCTGCTGTGTTAGCGGTTAGCACGTGATGTCACTTTGACCTCTGCTGCTGTGTTAGCGGTTAGCACGTGATGTCACTTTGACCTCTGCTGCTGTGTTAGCGGTTAGCGCGTGATGTCACTTTGACCTCTGCTGCTGTGTTAGCGGTTAGCACGTGATGTCACTTTGACCTCTGCTGCTGTGTTAGCGGTTAGCACGTGATGTCATGATGTTAGCGGTTAGCATGTGATGTCATGATGTCACTTTGGCCTCTGCTGCTGTGTTAGCGGTTAGCACGTGATGTCATGATGTTAGCGGTTAGCATGTGATGTCATGATGTCACTTTGACCTCTGCTGCTGTGTTAGCGGTTAGCACGTGATGTCACTTTGGCCTCTGCTGCTGTGTTAGCGGTTAGCGCGTGATGTCACTTTGACCTCTGACCTCTGCTGCTGTGTTAGCAGTTAGCGCGTGATGTCACTTTGACCTCTGACCTCTGCTGCTGTGTTAGCAATTAGCGCGTGATGTCACTTTGACCTCTGACCTCTGCTGCTGTGTTAGCGTCTAACGGACAGCAGACAGACGTCTCAGCTTCCAGCCGAACAAACCATGAAACTAAAACATTCCCAGAAACAGTCTGTGTGTCAGCAGTGTGATCCATTACTGTGAAACTGATCCTGGTTCAGCTCTCAGAGGTCGTGGTGTCCTTCAGGATCAGGTTCTGCTGTAGTCGATAATCAGCAGACAGTACTCTGTGTGTACCTCCTGTGCAGTCATTGTAGTAGTACTATTATTCGTGCAGTACTGGTTAACTTGGCAGAAGTATTACGGGCAGGATATCAGCAAGTCTTTTCTGGATTAATCATTTATTCTGTCAGACAACAGAACGGTCAGTGTGACATCTTGTTGGGTCCAACCAAAGATCTTCAGAACAGAAGCTGGACCCTGAGTCACTGAGCAGAACATTTACAGTATACTGCAGTACAGGTACCTTCGCAGGCAGCAGGTCAGCCTGGTGTAGAACCATTTCCTCTGACATCAGCAGGGTTCTGTCCGGGCTGCACAGATCCAGAGGCTGGAAACAACAACAAGAGAACAGAACATCAAGCCAGCTGTATCTTGGTCCGGGACTGGTTCTGGGTTAGGTTGACGGGGTTTTGGCTTGTGTTCTAGGTTCAATATAAGGGCCTTGGTTCTGGCTGAGGTGAAAAGATCTAGGTTAGGACTAGATTGGTTCTAGGTCAGGTTCAAGGTTCTAGTTTGTGTTCTAGGTTAGATATAAGAGTCACAGATTGGTTCTGAATTATAGATTCTGACCCAGATGAAGATGGGGAAGATGAGGGTCTTTGGTTCTGGGACTGGTTCGGGTTAAAGGTTTTAGGTTCTGACCTGGATGAAGATGGGGAAGATGAGGGTCTTTGGTTCTGGGACTGGTTCGGGTTAAAGGTTTTAGGTTCTGACCTGGATGAAGATGGGGAAGATGAGGGTCTTTGGTTCTGGGACTGGTTCGGGTTAAAGGTTTTAGGTTCTGACCTGGATGAAGATGGGGAAGATGAGGGTCTTTGGTTCTGGGACTGGTTCGGGTTAAAGGTTTTAGGTTCTGACCTGGATGAAGATGCGGAAGATGAGGGTCTTTGGTTCTGGGACTGGTTCGGGTTAAAGGTTTTAGGCTCTGACCTGGGACTGGTTCGGGTTAAAGGTTTTAGGTTCTGACCTGGATGAAGATGCGGAAGATGAGGGTCTTTGGTTCTGGGACTGGTTCGGGTTAAAGGTTTTAGGCTCTGACCCAGATGAAGATGGGGAAGATGAGGGTCTTTGGTTCTGGGACTGGTTCGGGTTAAAGGTTTTAGGCTCTGACCTGGGACTGGTTCGGGTTAAAGGTTTTAGGCTCTGACCCGGATGAAGATGGGGAAGATGAGGGTCTTTGGTTCTGGGACTGGTTCGGGTTAAAGGTTTTAGGCTCTGACCTGGGACTGGTTCGGGTTAAAGGTTTTAGGCTCTGACCCGGATGAAGATGGGGAAGATGAGGGTCTTTGGTTCTGGGACTGGTTCGGGTTAAAGGTTTTAGGCTCTGACCCGGATGAAGATGGGGAAGATGAGGGTCTTTGGTTCTGGGACTGGTTCGGGTTAAAGGTTTTAGGCTCTGACCCGGATGAAGATGGGGAAGATGAGGGTCTTTGGTTCTGGGACTGGTTCGGGTTAAAGGTTTTAGGCTCTGACCCGGATGAAGATGGGGAAGATGAGGGTCTTTGGTTCTGGGACTGGTTTGGGTTAAAGGTTTTAGGCTCTGACCTGGGACTGGTTCGGGTTAAAGGTTTTAGGCTCTGACCTGGACGAAGATGGGGAAGATGAGGGTTTTGGGTGCCAGGGTGACGTAGGTTCCGTAGGTGGAGCAGGGCAGATGTGACTGGACGATGGTGCAGTTCTGGTAGTTGCCGTAGTTGGTGGGCTGGGCTGATGAAGAGGAGGTGGGGGGGGTATGGGTGAGGGTGGAAGTGTGACCAGTGAATGGCCGCTGTGACATCCCGGGTCGGGGGTCGTGGAGCAGGTTCTGACCTCTGCTGGGGTGAGTCTGGTACAGACGCCCTGGTGATCAGAGACACAGGTGATCAGATTCTAATCAAGACAGCGAAAGATGATCAGCACTCAGTGAGGACGCTGTACCGATCGTTCCGTTCCTGTCGTGATAAACCGGCTGCAGCAGCTGAAACACAGAGAGCACAGGCGGAGAACCTTTTATTTCAGGCGGAAGATCCAGAGGTGGGAACCTGGAGACCCCTGGAGACCTCGTTTCCAAAGACTCACCTGTTCTCCCGGGTTGACAGGTGACAGGATGATGTAATTGTCTCCATGTGATGATGTCACACGGGTGCCCTTGAGCGTGGTGGTGCGAGGTGAATACTCAGTCACCTCCTCCTCCTCCTCCTCCTGTTCCTCCTCCTGCTCCTCCTTCCTGTCCCTCCACAGAGAACCCAGAGCCCCTAAACCGGACCTCACCCCCGACCTCTGACCCCATCTGGGGCCATGCTTACTGTGGGCGGGGTGAGGCAGCAGCTTCCTGCCTGTTGTCTAGGAAACAAAGAGGAAACAAGGTGACGTTAGCTTAGCATAAGATTAGCTCATCTGACCCACTCCAAGAGAAGCAGGCGGCTGGTTCACCAACAAGTGAGGTCATCGCCCTTTTAAAGGTTCTGTTACGGCACCTTCTTCCTCGAGTCGCTGGCCAGCGTGGAGGCGGAGTTCAGGTGGAGACCCTACAACCACAACACAGGAAGTGAAGATCAGAGAGACGTCATCGATCCTGCTGAGTAAAGCTTTCTGATAACTTCTTTCTGTCAGGCGTCCAGGTCGGACCCTGCAGGCCTCACTTCCTGTCAATAGGAGTTCAGTCCCCTGTGGGCATCTACCGAGCAGCCTAACCAGCGGGGGCCACAATGCTTCCATCAGACTGACTAAAGGTTCTGAGTTCTGGGCATGTGAGAGCGAAATGTAAATCCCAGCAGCATCATGGGGCCTCATGATGCATCTCATTAGTAAAGTGTTGTAATGATATATAAAACCTTCCAGTAGCAGAAAGTCAAAGTGCTAGTAGGACCTCACATTAGAACATCAGTGCAGAACTTCCTGTTCTGACCAGCAGGTGAAGACTCACCGTGTTGTGTGCAGGTGGGCGGAGCGAAGCCTCACATCCTGACCGGAGCTCAGGTAACCCTCTCCAGACCACCAGCACGATCTGAGACGGACAACTCCTGAACCCACAGACACAAATTTTAATGTGGATATCAGCAGAGTCAGTATAAAAGTTAAACATGTACATCTAATTATTATTTAACAAAAAGTGTTCCTTCGCTAAAATACTGAACTAAAACAGTGTGAGATCTGAGGGCTGTTGTCTGATTAATCTTAGATCACATTCGCCCGCCTTCAGACGGTACTGAGGGCTGATGTCTGTTTAATCTGAGATCACATTCGCCCGCCCTCAGACAGTAGTGAGGGCTGGTCTGTTTATCTGAGATCACATTTGCCCGCCTTAAGACTGTACTGAGGGCTGAGGTCTGTAAAATCTGAGATCACCTTAGAAACAGACCGCCTTCAAACTGTACTGAGGGCTGCGCCTGTTTAATCTGAGATCACATTCGCCCGCCTTCAGACTGTACTGAGGGCTGAGGTCTGTAAAATCTGCGATCACCTTAGAAACAGGCCGCCTTCAGACTGTACTGAGGGCTGTGGTCTGTTTAATCTGAGATCACTTTAGAAACAGGCCGCCTTCAGACTGTACTGAGGGCTGAGGTCTGTTTAATCTGAGATCACATTTGCCCGCCTTAAGACTGTACTGAGGGCTGAGGTCTGTAAAATCTGCGATCACCTTAGAAACAGGCCGCCTTCAGACTGTACTGAGGGCTGAAGTCTATTTAATCTGAGATCACATTCGCCCGCCTTCAGACTGTACTGAGGGCTGAGGTCTGTAAAATCTGCGATCACCTTAGAAACAGGCCGCCTTCAGACTGTACTGAGGGCTGAGGTCTGTAAAATCTGCGATCACCTTAGAAACAGGCCGCCTTCAGACTGTACTGAGGGCTGAAGTCTATTTAATCTGAGATCACATTCGCCCGCCTTCAGACTGTACTGAGGGCTGAGGTCTGTAAAATCTGCGATCACCTTAGAAACAGGCCGCCTTCAGACTGTACTGAGGGCTGAGGTCTGTTTAATCTGAGATCACTTTAGAAACAGGCCGCCTTCAGACTGTACTGAGGGCTGAGGTCTGTTTATCTGAGATCACATTTGCCCGCCTTAAGACTGTACTGAGGGCTGAGGTCTGTAAAATCTGCGATCACCTTAGAAACAGGCCGCCTTCAGACTGTACTGAGGGCTGTGGTCTGTTTAAACTGAGATCACTTTAGAAACAGGCCGCCTTCAGACTGTACTGAGGGCTGTGGTCTGTTTAATCTGAGATCACTTTAGAAACAGGCCGCCTTCAGACTGTAAGAGGGCTGAAGTCTATTTAATCTGAGATCACATTCGCCCGCCTTCAGACTGTACTGAGGGCTGAGGTCTGTAAAATCTGCGATCACCTTAGAAACAGGCCGCCTTCAGACTGTACTGAGGGCTGAAGTCTATTTAATCTGAAATCACATTCGCCCGCCTTCAGACTGTACTGAGGGCTGAGGTCTGTAAAATCTGCGATCACCTTAGAAACAGGCCGCCTTCAGACTGTACTGAGGGCTGAGGTCTGTTTAATCTGAGATCACTTTAGAAACAGGCCGCCTTCAGACTGTACTGAGGGCTGAGGTCTGTTTAATCTGAGATCACTTTAGAAACAGGCCGCCTTCAGACTGTACAGAGGGCTGAAGTCTATTTAATCTGAGATCACATTCGCCCGCCTTCAGACTGTACTGAGGGCTGAGGTCTGTAAAATCTGCGATCACCTTAGAAACAGGCCGCCTTCAGACTGTACTGAGGGCTGTGGTCTGTTTAATCTGAGATCACTTTAGAAACAGGCCGCCTTCAGACTGTACTGAGGGCTGAGGTCTGTTTAATCTGAGATCACTTTAGAAACAGGCCGCCTTCAGACTGTACTGAGGGCTGTGGTCTGTTTAATCTGAGATCACTTTAGAAACAGGCCGCCTTCAGACTGTACTGAGGGCTGAGTGAATGACATCCTAGATCCGATCAGTCTGGTTTTAAGAGGGGCCACTCTAAGGTCAGCTGAAGCTGCTGCCCAGTCCTCGGTTCTTATCCTGCTTGGCCTATCAGCTGCCTTTGACGCAGTCAACCACAGGATCCTGCTATCCGCTCTCTCAGCGACGGGAATCTCGGGTAAAGCACTCCTGTGGTGGGCGTTCCTACAATGTGTCTTGGCGAGGACAATTATGCTCCTCCCACTGCCTCTCCACAGGTACTGAGTCAGAATGAGGGGCGTGGTTACCTGATGGCGTGGGCAAGGTCGACACACTTCCAGGTTTCGACAGGAAGTCCGTTCAGCTGCAGGACCGAGTCTCCCTGACGGAGACCCGCCTGATGAGCCGGACCGCCTACAGACAGACAGACAGATGATGTCACTGATGATGTCACAGACATTATTACCAGTTGTATAGAATGACATCACAGTTTTAGTGCGTTTGTGGTTTCTCACCAGAGTCGACGGCCTGGACTCGGACCGGACAGTCGGAGCAGATCGTGAATCCAAAACCATCTTTTCCTCGAACAACGTTCACCTGCAGACGACGACACGGGCAGCAGAGACTGTCAGCTCAGTACATATGGAAACACACACGCTCTCTTTCTAGTCTTTGAGCTCAACATTCACACATTGGTGGAGCAATGTGAACAGCCGCCAGGACACTTCGACACGCAGTCTGGAGGAGCCGGGGATTGAAACGCCGGCCTTCCGATTAACGGCCAACCCGCTCTACCCCGTGTGCCACTGTGGGGATGTTTGTGTGTGACGCTGGGTAAAAGCTCTGCCACATGAGTAAATGTAATTTTAGGATTTTGCAGATGATGATCAAAGAAAAACAATCTGAAACAAACATGATGATAAAATCATCATCTCTCTGGAAACGAGCTCAGATCTGTGTGAAACCAAGAAACAACTATCAATCAATAAACCAACGACACGTCCGGTTCCTGGTTCAGGTGTCACATTCAGTTAGACGGGGTACCGACACGAAGACTCGTCTCCTGACGTTCTGCTATGAAGCCGTCTTCGTTTCAAGCAGTGCAGCGTGCAGCCTGCAGGGGGCGCCGTGTTCACTCATGTTGACAGAGTCAAGATGTTTCTGTCAGACCCAGACTGGAGGTCTGTCTGGGTCCTGGTCTCCGAGCTGTTTCCATGACTCTGCAAACACTGGCGCTCTGGAGGAAAGGTCGGCTCCTCCTGAGAGTTTTCTCTGCACAAAGGAAGTTTGATGTCCCTGAGCTCAGACTGACAGGCTGATATTAAAACTCCTGCAGGGGCTGAGGTCTTTAAAGAGGACTGAGACCCTCAGTGTTTGTGCTTCTCTGCAGGGTCAGCCTGGTCCACATGTCCACAGAGTCACATTTTAACACAGTGATGACTGGAGACAGGCGGAGCTCCTATTAGACTTTCTAAACCTCCAAAAGTGTCTGACGGCAGGCGGTGAAGCGACGTCCACGTGCAACACGCGCTAATGTTAGCTTAGCAATGGAGTCCGCTAACGTCAACAAATGACTGGCACCCACCGACCCAGAGTCCGAAGCCAAAGCCAGTATTACTGCAGAGCGTTAGCTAGCTAACGTAGCACAAAAGACTGTCTTACATCCATTCAGAGTCACGGTGCTGATCTGGCTGGTAGACCCTGACCCACGTCAGCTGGCGTTGTGGGGCAGATCCACGCAGCGTGGCTGGGTTGTAGCTAACCTTAGCTTGCTTGCTAGCTAGCTGGCCAACATGCCTAATCAAAGTAAACTGACGACACGTCTCTCTCTCTCTCTCTCTCTCTCTCTCTTCAGGTCTGAGCAGAGTTAGCTTAGCTCTGACCGCAGCCTTTTTCCTGGGGTGGTTGCAGCTCTTGAGATGGCGTTTGCTCTGGCTGGGTGGTCAGAAAATGGCGTGGGCGGTGATGGTCTCATGGTCCGCTGAACTTAATCCAGTCCCTGTGCTTCCTTTTGCAGCTGTCGTTGAGAGTCTTCCTGTCGTAGGCGCTGGAGGTGAACCCTGGACAGCTCTGGCCCAACTGGACCTGTTTGAACCAACGATCACTTTCTACTAGCAAAGAGCGATGCAAGACAGGGCGGCCAACTAGCTAGCTCTAAGCTAAGCTGTGGCTGCTCGCCGTGGGCCTGGCGTGGGTTGGTGTCACAGAGCAACATCTCAGACAGTAACGTTCCTCTAAACGTGACGTTTCCAGCGTTCAGCCTCGTGTTTGTCACGTCGGAGCAACAGAAGCTGACTGCAGTTCAGTTTACGGCCACCGGAGTCACTAACAACAAGGGTCTGAGGACGTTCCACACAGAACCTTTACATTTCTGTTTACCACTGATCTGGAAAGCTGGACAGTGATGCTTCAGTTTTTGATTGTAAAAGGGAAACACCTTCTCACTCCCTCATCACGTATGTACGCAGGTAAAGACCCGTTGGCGTCAGCTTGTAACACTGTAGCGTCACGTTTGAACGCTAAAGGTCGGCGTGGGATATTTAACAGAGCAGGAGGAGGTTGGGGTCAGGGGCGTCGCACAAACATCTGGACCCTGTACATAAGCATTCCCTGTGGGCGCCTCCACGGCTGTTCTTTCTTTGTGGGCTCTCCTAACACGAGGACCCCGTTTACTCAGTCCCCCCCCAGGAGACCGCGAGGACTCTGGTATTTCTTTCCTGTGTGGAACAAAACGTCAGCAACGCATGTTTTTAGTTAAGTCAAGCAACCAAAACTGCGACATTAACCACTAGTTTTATTATTATTTCTAACCGGACGCTCTGTATGTTTTGTTGCTAACTTGACCTACACGTGCGACAGCGACGCTGAAGCGGTGACCAGGCGTCCGTCTGACGAGTCTGATTTCATCCCTTTAACAGAAGAAGTTTCTCTCTCGTGTTTCACCTTAAGTCACAAACTGATCGGCTGCTGATGGGTTAATGGACTACTGATCATCAGAAACACGTTAACACATTTACTGATCATCAGTGTCGCCGATCATGTGACTCCCTCTCAGCTCCAGCTGCTTGTTTGGTCCACATCGGGCTGACTGTCAGCTTTCAGCAACTGAGCCAATCAGGTGGAGGCGCCTTCAGAACAGTTCACATCAGCGAGACGACTGAAGCGTTAAAGTGCAGCAATCAGTTTCTGTTTGGACAGCTGAGTGTTTGAGTAGCGCCGGACAACACGGAGGACCGCCGCCTGTTCAAACACACACACACACACAGTGCAACACACTGACACACAGTAACACACGTACTGTAACACACACAGTGCAACACACTGACACACAGTAACACACGTACTGTAACACACACAGTGCAACACACTGACACACAGTAACACACGTACTGTAACACACACAGTGCAACACACTGACACACAGTAACACACACACAGTGCAACACACACAGTGCAACACACTGACACACAGTAACACACACACAGTGCAACACACACAGTGCAACACACTGACACACAGTAACACACGTACTGTAACACACACAGTGCAACACACTGACACACAGTAACACACGTACTGTAACACACACAGTGCAACACACTGACACACAGTAACACACGTACTGTAACACACACACACAGTGCAACACACTGACACACAGTAACACACGTACTGTAACACACACAGTGCAACACACTGACACACAGTAACACACACACAGTGCAACACACACAGTGCAACACACTGACACACAGTAACACACACACAGTGCAACACACACAGTGCAACACACTGACACACAGTAACACACACACAGTGCAACACACACAGTGCAACACACTGACACACAGTAACACACACACAGTGCAACACACACAGTGCAACACACTGACACACAGTAACACACACACAGTACAACACACACAGTGCAACACACTGACACACAGTAACACACACAGTGCAACACACTGACACACAGTAACACACACAGTGCAACACACTGACACACAGTAACACACGTACTGTAACACACACAGTGCAACACACTGACACACAGTAACACACACAGTGCAACACACTGACACACAGTAACACACACAGTGCAACACACTGACACACAGTAACACACATACTGTAACACACACAGTGCAACACACTGACACACAGTAACACACACAGTGCAACACACACAGTGCAACACACTGACACACAGTAACACACACAGTGCAACACACACAGTGCAACACACTGACACACAGTAACACACGTACTGTAACACACACACACAGTGCAACACACTGACACACAGTAACACACGTACTGTAACACACACAGTGCAACACACTGACACACAGTAACACACACAGTGCAACACACTGACACACAGTAACACACACAGTGCAACACACACAGTGCAACACACTGACACACAGTAACACACGCACTGTAACACACAGTGCAACACACTGACACACAGTAACACACGTACTGTAACACACACACACAGTGCAACACACTGACACACAGTAACACACGTACTGTAACACACACACACAGTGCAACACACTGACACACAGTAACACACACAGTGCAACACACTGACACACAGTAACACACGTACTGTAAAACACACAGTGCAACACACTGACACACAGTAACACACACAGTGCAACACACACAGTGCAACACACTGACACACAGTAACACACGTACTGTAACACACACACACAGTGCAACACACTGACACACAGTAACACACGTACTGTAACACACACACACAGTGCAACACACTGACACACAGTAACACACACAGTGCAACACACTGACACACAGTAACACACACAGTGCAACACACACACTGCAACACACTGACACACAGTAACAAACACAGTGCAACACACACAGTGCAACACACACAGTGCAACACACTGACACACAGTAACAAACACAGTGCAACACACACAGTGCAACACACACTGCAACACACTGACACACAGTAACACACACAGTGCAACACACAGTGCAACACACTGACACACAGTAACACACACAGTAACACACGTACTGTAACACACACACAGTGCAACACACTGACACACAGTAACACGCACAGTAACACACAGTGCAACACACACAGTGCAACACACTGACACAGTAACACGCACAGTAACACACAGTGCACACACAGTGCAACACACTGACACACAGTAACACACACAGTAACACACACAATGCAACACACACAGTGCAACACACTGACACACAGTAACACACACAGTGCAACACACTGACACACAGTAACACACACAGTGCAACACACACACTGCAACACACTGACACACAGTAACAAACACAGTGCAACACACACAGTGCAACACACACACTGCAACACACTGACACACAGTAACAAACACAGTGCAACACACACAGTGCAACACACACTGCAACACACTGACACACAGTAACAAACACAGTGCAACACACACACTGCAACACACTGACACACAGTAACACACGTACTGTAACACACACACAGTGCAACACACTGCAACACACTGACACACAGTAACACACGTACTGTAACACACACACAGTGCAACACACTGACACACAGTAACACACACAGTGCAACACACAGTGCAACACACTGACACACAGTAACACACTGACACACAGTAACACACACAGTGCAACACACTGACACACAGTAACACACACAGTGCAACACACAGTGCAACACACTGACACACAGTGCAACACACACACAGTGCAACACACTGACACACAGTAACACACACACAGTGCAACACACTGACACACAGTAACACACACAGTAACACACACACAGTGCAACACACTGACACACAGTAACACACACAGTGCAACACACTGACACACAGTAACACACAATGCAACACACACAGTGCAACACACACAGTGCAACACACTGACACACAGTAACACACACAGTAACACACACAATGCAACACACACAGTGCAACACACTGACACACTGTAACACACACAGTAACACACGTACTGTAACACACACAGTGCAACACACTGACACACAGTAACACACACAGTAACACACGTACTGTAACACACACACAGTGCAACACACTGACACACAGTAACACACGTACTGTAACACACACAGTGCAACACACTGACACACAGTAACACACACAGTAACACACGTACTGTAACACACACACAGTGCAACACACTGACACACAGTAACACACACAGTGCAACACACTGACACACAGTAACACGCACAGTAACACACAGTGCAACACACACAGTGCAACACACTGACACACAGTAACACACACACAGTGCAACACAGTGCAACACACTGACACACAGTAACACACACAATGCAACACACACAGTGCAACACACACAGTGCAACACACTGACACACAGTAACACACACAGTAACACACACAATGCAACACACACAGTGCAACACACTGACACACTGTAACACACACAGTAACACACGTACTGTAACACACACAGTGCAACACACTGACACACAGTAACACACACAGTAACACACGTACTGTAACACACACACAGTGCAACACACTGACACACAGTAACACACGTACTGTAACACACACAGTGCAACACACTGACACACAGTAACACACACAGTAACACACGTACTGTAACACACACACAGTGCAACACACTGACACACAGTAACACACACAGTGCAACACACTGACACACAGTAACACGCACAGTAACACACAGTGCAACACACACAGTGCAACACACTGACACACAGTAACACACACACAGTGCAACACAGTGCAACACACTGACACACAGTAACACACAGTGCAACACACACAGTGCAACACACTGACACACAGTAACACACACAGTAAAACACACACAGTGCAACACACTGACACACAGTAACACACACAATGCAACACACACAGTGCAACACACTGACACACAGTAACACACACAGTAAAACACACAGTAAAACACACACAGTGCAACACACTGACACACAGTAACACGCACAGTAACACACAGTGCAACACACACAGTGCAACACACTGACACACAGTAACACACACACAGTGCAACACACAGTGCAACACACTGACACACAGTAACACACAGTGCAACACACACAGTGCAACACACTGACACACAGTAACACACACAGTAAAACACACACAGTGCAACACACTGACACACAGTAACACACACAATGCAACACACACAGTGCAACACACTGACACACAGTAACACACACAGTAAAACACACAGTAAAACACACACAGTGCAACACACTGACACACAGTAACACACACAATGCAACACACACAGTGCAACACACTGACACACAGTAACACACACAGTAAAACACACAGTACAACACACTGACACACAATAACACACACAGTAACATACACAGTGGCACACACAATAACACACACAGTGCAACACACTGACACACAATAACACACACAGTAAAACACACACAGTACAACACACTGACACACAATAACACACACAGTAACATACACAGTGGCACACACAATAACACACACAGTGCAACACACTGACACACACTGACACACACAGTAACACACACAGTGCAACACACTGACACACAGTAACACACACAGTGCAACACACTGACACACAGTGCAACACACACAGTGCAACACACTGACACACAGTGCAACACACACAGTGCAACACACTGACACACAGTAAAACACACACAGTGCAACACACTGACACACAGTAAAACACACACAGTGCAACACACTGACACACAGTAACACGCACAGTAACACACAGTGCAACACACACAGTGCAACACACTGACACACAGTAACACACACAGTAACACACACAGTGCAACACACAGTGCAACACACACAGTACAACACACTGACACACAATAACACACACAGTAACATACACAGTGCCACACACAATAACACACACAGTAACATACACAGTGCCACACACAATAACACACACAGTGCAATACACTGACACACAATAACACACACAATGCAACACACACAGTAAAACACACACAGTGCAACACACACAGTAAAACATACACAGTGCAACACACACAGTACAACACACTGACACACAATAACACTCACAGTAACATACACAGTGCCACACACAATAACACACACAGTGCAACACACTGACACACAGTAACACACACAGTGCAACACACACAGTACAACACACTGACACACAGTAACACACACAGTAACATACACAGTGGCACACACAATAACCCAAACAGTGCAACACACTGACACACAATAACACACACAGTGCAACACACTGACAAACTGTAACACACACAGTGCAACACACTGACACACAGTAAAACACACACAGTGCAACACACTGACACACAGTAAAACACACACAGTGCAACACACTGACACACAGTAAAACACACACAGTGCAACACACTGACACACAGTAAAACACACACAGTGCAACACACTGACACACAGTAACACACACAGTGCAACACACACAGTGCAACACACACAGTAACACACACAGTGCAACACACACAGTAACACACACAGTGCAACACACACAGTACAACACACACAGTAACACACACAGTAACACACACACAGTAACACACACACAGTAACACACACACACCATCTCTCCTGTCAGATGCAGTTTTTCAGTAAAATCACTCAGTTTCAATCTGTGTGTGAATTATTGATCAACCTCACACACACAGTAACACACACACACACACACACACACAGTAACACACACGCGGAGTGCAGATGGTTTAAACATGAAGATTTTAAACATTTATCTGACCTGCTGGACTAAAAACACACACACAGGAAAGCCTGGAGGTTGTGGCAGGAAATGACAAACAGCGAGCAGTGACATCAGACTGTGCAGCCAATCAGAGGAGACGCTCGTTTCCTGCTGTTTTGTTTCCACATGAACGGTCATGTTCGAGTGTTTATTGTTCGGCCCTCAAATCAGTGAACATCATCACAAATCCTCGGCCCCACCAGACTCCATTCAAAAACCTGCCCATTTAATGACACCTCCGCAGATGAAAGCTGACTCGGTTCACTGATAAACGCTAGACTCAGATCAACTCTACTGCAATTACAAATTCTACTGGGTTCCACTGAACACAGCCCGCTGTCCATCAGAACCTCCAGCACTGTTTAAAGCAGCGCGGAGATAAACTGAACTCACTGATATTAAAACTTTTGGTTCCCTGGTGTGTCTTTGCTGAGCTGGAGAAAGTAAAGAGGAACGATCTAAACAGTTCTGACCTGTGAAGCTTCACAATATATTTGAACATTTCGTCCTCTGTCACTTCACGTGGAAACACATGAAGAAGAGGTCCAACCAGAGCCCCCTGATAAAAACCCAGTAAACAGACTCAGACCTGCGGGAGGTTCTGTTCGATGCAGACTCGACACAGACGGTGGATCGTGTGCATGACAGCAGGTCAGGGTGTCGCTTCAAATCCTGCAGCTCCACCGGTCCATCGGATCCTCCAACAGAGCCAAACCACGTCCAGGAGCAGAGCTGACCCACCTCCACACTTCACAGAATTTTAGGTCTGACCCAGTACCAGGTACCAGGTGTAATCCAGGTCCAAATTTACAGAAACAGGTCCAGGTCTAATTCAGGATTAGACCACTCAAAAACAGGCCCAACATGGTCCAGATTTATAGAACAAGAACCAGATCTAATCAAGGGCTAGAGCAAGCTATAACCGGTCATATTTATAGATCCAGGTCTAATCCAAACCAGGTTTACAGAACCTGAACTAATTCTAACCCTGGTCCAGATTTAGAAAAACAAGAATCAGGACTAATCCAAGTCCAGACTTGACAAGTCTAAATCAAAATAAGTGCAGACCCAGGTCTAACTGAGGTCTAGCTGGTGAACCAGTATGTGAGAGGATGAACAGGGTTCTGGTGTTAGAACGAGAGGGTCTGTGTGTGTGTGGGAACCAACAGACAGAAGAATAGCAGGAAACAAAAACACTGGACGTATCCTGCGATAAGACAAACACTTCCTGAACACCCCCCCTCCCCCCGTGTGAACGATGTCATTCAGGTCTGTTTACCATCTCAGACGGCCTGAAGTTAGTCCCACACAGACCTGGACTGTAGACCTGGACACGATGTTCCACACTGTAAAAAATTAAACTTTATAAAGGATCTAGTGAGCGGAACGTTACGAGGCTGCAGAACCAGAGAAGTGCTGGTACAGTCGAGATTAGATGTGAAAAATTAACCAGCTCCGCCTGAACAGGGTCAATAACAAACACCCCCATCAGAATCTGGATCCACAGGACGAATGCTGGAGGCCATGTGGTAAAAAAACATGGCCGACCACGTGTTCTACACTCGTACTTTGATTATTTCATACCGGCACCGGAGCGTTAAAGCCACAGTTTATCTGAGGAACGCCTCTAGAACGTCTGCAGGACTGAAGGTGTCAACACAAACCGACTGCAGGACTGAAGGTGTCAACACAAACCGACTGCAGGAGTCAACACAAACCGTCTGCAGGACTGAAGGTGTCAACACAAACCGTCTGCAGGACTGAAGGTGTCAACACAAACCGACTGCAGGACTGAAGGTGTCAACACAAACCGACTGCAGGACTGAAGGTGTCAACACAAACCGACTGCAGGACTGAAGGTGTCAACACAAACCGACTGCAGGACTGAAGGTGTCAACACAAACCGACTGCAGGACTGAAGGTGTCAACACAAACCGTCTGCAGGACTGAAGGTGTCAACACAAACCGACTGCAGGACTGAAGGTGTCAACACAAACCGTCTGCAGGAGTCAACACAAACGGTAGGTGTGGTGTGTGTGTGTGGCGTACGGTATGTGTGGGGTGTGTGTGGCGTACGGTATGTGTGGGGTGTGTGTGGCGTACGGTATGTGTGGGGTGTGTGTGTGGCGTACGGTATGTGTGGTGTGTGTGTGTGCGTACGGTATGTGTGGGTGTGTGTGGCGTACGGTATGTGTGGGTGTGTGTGTGGCGTACGGTATGTGTGGGGTGTGTGTGGCGTACGGTATGTGTGGGGGTGTGTGTGGCGTACGGTATGTGTGGGGTGTGTGTGGCGTACGGTATGTGTGGGGTGTGTGTGTGGCGTACGGTATGTGTGGGGTGTGTGTGTGGCGTACGGTATGTGTGGGGTGTGTGTGTGGCGTACGGTATGTGTGGGGTGTGTGTGGCGTACGGTATGTGTGGGGTGTGTGTGGCGTACGGTATGTGTGGGGTGTGTGTGGCGTACGGTATGTGTGGGGTGTGTGTGTGGCGTACGGTATGTGTGTGGTGTGTGTGTGGCGTACGGTATGTGTGTGGCGTGTGTGTGGCGTACGGTATGTGTGTGGCGTGTGTGTGGCGTACGGTATGTGTGTGGCGTGTGTGTGGCGTACAGTATGTGTGGGGTGTGTGTGTGGCGTACGGTATGTGTGGGGTGTGTGTGGCGTACAGTATGTGTGGGGTGTGTGTGTGGCGTACGATATGTGTGGTGTGTGTGTGGCGTACGGTATGTGTGGGGTGTGTGTGGCGTACGATATGTGTGGTGTGTGTGTGGCGTACAGTATGTGTGGTGTGTGTGTGGCGTACGGTATGTGTGGTGTGTGTGGGCGTACGGTATGTGTGGGGTGTGTGTGTGTGTGTGGCGTACAGTATGTGGGGTGTGTGTGTGGCGTACAGTATGTGTGGTGTGTGTGTGGCGTACGGTATGTGTGGGGTGTGTGTGTGGCGTACGGTATGTGTGGTGTGTGTGTGGCGTACGGTATGTGTGGGGTGTGTGTGGCGTACGGTATGTGTGGGGTGTGTGTGGCGTACGATATGTGTGGTGTGTGTGTGGCGTACAGTATGTGTGGTGTGTGTGTGGCGTACGGTATGTGTGGTGTGTGTGTGGTGTACGGTATGTGTGTGTGTGTGTGGTGTACGGTATGTGCGGTGTGTGTGGCGTACGGTATGTGTGGGGTGTGTGTGGCGTACGGTATGTGTGTGTGTGTGGCGTACGGTATGTGTGGTGTGTGTGTGGCGTACGGTATGTGTGGTGTGTGTGTGGCGTACGGTATGTGTGGGGTGTGTGTGGCGTACGGTATGTGTGTGGCGTGTGTGTGGCGTACGGTATGTGTGTGGCGTGTGTGTGGCGTACAGTATGTGTGGGGTGTGTGTGTGGCGTACGGTAGGTGTGGTGTGTGTGTGGCGTACGGTAGGTGGGGTGTGTGTGTGGCGTACGATATGTGTGGTGTGTGTGTGGCGTACGGTATGTGTGGTGTGTGTGTGGCGTACGGTATGTGTGGTGTGTGTGTGTGTGTGGCGTACGGTATGTGTGGTGTGTGTGAAGAGATGAAGACGCTACACTCTATAATTCATCCAACGTGAATCTTTGATGGGAAACACACACACGCACACACGGTCTGATCACAGCAACGATCTGACTGGGTGCTCCGTCAATGATGTCAGATGTTTACCTCTGGCTCATTTACATAATACCTGACCAACGCATCACCTGAAATCTATAAAATAAAGATGTAGATGCAGATCAGAAAAGTGATGGAACAATTAAAAATCTACAATTGAATTCATTTAAAATCAGGACCTTTCCAAATAAACTATGTGTGCCTAGAACCAATTCTCCTAATGTTCTCCAATAATACACCGACTTACGTTCTCCAATAAATCCCCACCTTACGTTCTCCAAAAACATACCACCTTACGTTCTCCAATAAAACCCCACCTAACGTTCTCCAATAACACCCCACCTTACGTTCTCCAATAAAACCCCACCTTACGTTCTCCAATAACATACCACCTTACGTTCTCCAATAACACACCACCTAACGTTCTCCAATAACACCCCACCTTACGTTCTCCAATAACACCCCACCTTACGTTCTCCAATAACACCCCACCTTACGTTCTCCAATAACACCCCACCTTACGTTCTCCAATAACATACCGCCTCACGTTCTCCAATAAAATCCCACCTAACGTCCTCTAATAACATACCAACTTACGTTTTCCAATAACATACCAACTTACGTTTTCCAATAACACACCACCTAACGTCCTCCAATAACATGGGTTCAGAACATAGGTTCTCCGATAACATACCGACTTAGGTTCTCCAATTACATATCCGTTTACATTCTCCAATAACATACCGACTTACGTTCTCCAGTAACAGTCCACCTAACATACATCAATAACATTGCGACTTAGCTTCTCCAATAAAACCCCACCTAACGTTCTCCAATAACATACCACCTTACGTTCTCCAATAACATACCGCCTCACGTTCTCCAATAAAATCCCACCTAACGTCCTCTAATAACATACCAACTTACGTTTTCCAATAACATACCGACTTACGTCCTCCAATAACACACCACCTAACGTCCTCCAATAACATAGGTTCAGAACATAGGTTCTCCGATAACATACCGACTTAGGTTCTCCAATTACATATCCGTTTACATTCTCCAATAACATACCGACTTACGTTCTCCAGTAACAGTCCACCTAACGTTCTCCAATAACATACCACCTTACGTTCTCCAATAAAACCCCACCTAACGTTCTCCAATAACATACCACCTTACGTTCTCCAATAAAACCCCACCTAACGTTCTCCAATAAAACCCCACCTAACGTTCTCCAATAACACCCCACCTTATGTTCTCCAATAAAACCCCACCTAACGTTCTCCAATAACACCCCACCTTACGTTCTCCAATAACACCCCACCTTACGTTCTCCAATAAAACCCCACCTAACGTTCTCCAATAAAACCCCACCTAACGTCCTCTAATAACATACCAACATCAATAACATTGCGACTTAGCTTCTCCAATAACACACCACCTTACGTTCTCCAATAATATACCACCTAACGTTCTCCAATAACACCCCACCTTACGTTCTCCAATAAAACCCCACCTAACGTTCTCCAATAACACACCACCTTACGTTCTCCGATAATCTACCACCTAACGTCCTCCAATAACATACCGACTTACATTCTCCAAGAACAGTCCACTTAACATCCTCCAATAACATACCACCTTACGTTCTCCGATAATCTACCACCTAACGTCCTCCAATAACATACCGACTTACATTCTCCAAGAACAGTCCACTTAACATCCTCCAATAACATACCACCTTATGTTCTCTAACAAATCCCAAGTCAAGGCAGGTCCGGTTTCCAAGTCCCAGAATAATAAATTCCCAAGCCAAGACGGACCAGTCTAAAGTCAAGACCAAGTCCAAATTCATCTACCTAATGACCCTGCAATCGGGGATGTCTGTACAGGTGAATGTTTGTGTCATGTGACAGTGGAGGTGGACTCACCGTCAGCTGCTGGGCGCTGCTGCGGTCTCGGGTTGCCTGACGCCGGTTGGTGTTGGAGGACAGCGTGGAGACATGGCTGCTGTAGTTAGTGTTGATGGGATCGAGGATGTGGGGGCGACTGGAGGTCTGGCTGTGGTTTGTCAGGTCTTTCAGTCCCACGGCTGAGGTAGTGCTGGTGGTGGAGTTTGACAGGATGGTGGCAGCGGCGGTGGTGGTGATGCGGTTGAGGTCGGTATCTGGAGCGGAGTCCGGAGTCCTCCTGAGATCTGCTGCGAGCAGATAACCACCATCATCATCATCATTACCTGCAGCATGTTCCCACGACCAGGCAGTGTTCTTCCAGAACATCCTGACTGTCTTCGGACTGGACCGGATCAGTCAGACAGTCAGGCGGTTCTGTTTTCACACTTCGAGTACTTCAGAAAACTAACTTAAACAGACAATGTTATTAAAGGACGTCGACTGACAGAAGATCAGGCGGCTCAATCAGATCCTGCACAACAACCTCTGTATCATAAACCAGAAACAAATGGCCTCGTTAGAACGCCTCCATGACGGTCCTGCTGCTGCACAAAAACCAGCTCACTGTCAATGTTTTTCACTAAAACCATCAAAAATATCAAAATCAGACTCCATCACGTGGAGCTACTGAGGAACCAGGTCCTGAAAATCTCAGGAACACTTCAGGAGGTTCTGGAGCTCCTGAGAGTCCCTGCTGATTGGACAGCTTCACTGTGAAGCTCTGATGAAGTAAAACCACGAGTACAAATACTGCTGACGGTACTACTGAAAGTACGAGCTGCAGAGACAGACGTCCAGAAACACCAGAGAAGACGAAGTCTGTGTCTCTCTCTGAGCAGCCGGGGCGAACGAGTGTCAGATCTCAGTGTGATGTCAGAGCGAGCAAGCGAGAGAGAGAGAGAGGGGGGAAGCGAGAGAGAGAGAGAGAGAGAGAGAGAGAGAGAGGCGGGGAAGCGAGAGAGGGGGGAGAGAGCGAGAGAGAGAGAGAGGGGGGGGGAAGCGAGAGAGGGGGAGAGAGAGAGGTTTAAACTGTGGGGGGGGGGGGAAATGGAGATAGATGAGTTGGGGGGGTAGAGGTATTGTGAGGGTCACATGGTTACCGGGCAGCTTCTCATCACCATGGTACCCATGTGGACCCCTGGGGAGAGAGAGAGTCAGTTTTAATCTATATCTACGACTGCTCGCTCGCCCGTCACTATAAATAGAAAAAACATATAGATTTACATCTGGGACTGTGTGTGTCTCTCTTTGTCTCTGTGTGTCTCTGTGTGTGTCTGTGTGTCCCTCTGTGTGTGTGTATCTCTGTGCATCTCTCTGTGTGTCTCCGTGTCTGTCTCTGTGTGTGTGTGTCTCTCTTTGTCTCTGTGTGTGTCTGTGTGTCCCTCTATGTGCGTGTGTCTCTGTGCATCTCTCTGTGTGTCTCCGTGTCTGTCTCTGTGTGTGTGTGTCCCTTTCTGTGTGTGTGTCTCTCTTTGTCTCTGTGTCTCTCTTTGTCTCTGTGTGTCTCTGTGTGTGTCTGTGTGTCCCTCTGTGTGTGTGTGTGTCTGCGTGTGTCTGCGTGTGTCTCTGTGTCTCTGTGTGTCTCTCTGTGTCTGTGTCTCTCTGTCTCTCTGTGTCTCTGTGTGTCTGCGTGTGTGTCTCTCTGTGTGTGTCTCTCTTTGTCTCTGTGTGTGTGTCTCTGTGCCTCTGTGTGTGTGTCTGTGTGTGTGTGTCTCTGTGTGTGGGTGTCTCTGTCTGTGTGTGTGGGTGCCTGTGTGTCTCTGTGTGTCTGTGTGTCTCTGTGTGTGGGTGTCTGTGTGTGTCTGTGTCTCTGTGTGTGTGTCTCTCTGTGTTTGTGTATCTCTCTTTGTTTCTGTGTGTGTCTGTGTCTCTCTGTGTATCTCTATGTGTCTCTCTGTGTCTGCGTGTGTCTGTGTATCTCTGTGTGTCTGTGTCTCTCTGTGTCTGCGTGTGTCTGTGTATCTCTGTGTGTCTGTGTCTCTCTGTGTCTGCGTGTGTCTGCGTGTGTCTGCGTATGTGTGTCTGTGTGTCTCTCTGTGTGTGTCTCTCTCTTTGTCTCTGTGTGTCTCTCTTTGTCTGTGTGTGTGTGTGTCTGTCTGTGTGTCTGCGTGTGTCTCTCTGTGTGTCTGTGTGTGTCTCTCTGTGTATCTCTGTGTGTGTCTGTGTGTGTGTCTCTCTTTGTCTCTGTGTGTGTGTCTCTCTTTGTCTCTGTGTGTGTGTCTCTCTGTGTCTGCGTGTGTCTGCGTGTGTCTGCGTATGTGTGTCTGTGTGTCTCTCTGTGTGTGTCTCTCTCTTTGTCTCTGTGTGTCTCTCTTTGTCTGTGTGTGTGTCTCTCTTTGTGTGTGTGTCTCTCTTTGTCTGTGTGTGTGTGTGTCTGTCTGTGTCTCTCTGTGTGTCTGCATGTGTCTCTGTGTGTCTGTGTGTGTCTCTCTGTGTCTCTGTGTGTGTCTGTGTGTGTGTCTCTCTTTGTCTCTGTGTGTGTGTCTCTCTGTGTCTCTGTGTGTGTGTCTCTGTGTGTCTCTCTGTGTGTGTCTCTGTGTGTCTCTCTGTGTCTCTCTGTGTCTCTGTGTGTCTCTCTGTGTCTCTCTGTGTCTCTCTGTGTCTGTGTGTGTGTGTCTCTGTGTCTGTGTGTGTGTGTCTCTCTGTGTCTGTGTGTGTGTCTCTCTGTGTGTGTCTCTGTGTCTCTGTGTGTGTGTCTCTGTGTCTCTGTGTGTGTGTGTCTCTGTGTGTCTCTCTGTGTCTCTCTGTGTCTCTGTGTGTGTGTGTCTCTGTGTGTCTCTCTGTGTCTCTGTGTGTCTCTGTGTGTCTCTGTGTGTCTCTCTGTGTGTCTCTCTGTGTCTGTGTGTGTCTCTGTGTCTGTGTGTGTGTGTCTCTCTGTGTCTGTGTGTGTGTGTCTCTCTGTGTCTGTGTGTGTGTGTCTCTGTGTGTGTGTCTCTGTGTCTCTGTGTGTGTGTCTCTCTGTGTCTCTGTGTGTGTCTGTGTGTCTCTCTTTGTGTGTCTCTCTGTGTCTCTGTGTGTCTCTGTGTGTGTTTCTCTGTGTGTGTCTCTGTGTGTCTCTGTGTGTGTTTCTCTGTGTGTCTGTGTGTGTGTCTGTGTGTCTCTCTGTGTGTGTCTCTGTGTCTCTGTGTGTGTGTCTGTGTGTCTCTCTTTGTGTGTCTCTCTGTGTCTGTGTGTGTCTCTGTGTGTGTTTCTCTGTGTGTCTCTCTGTGTCTCTGTGTGTGTTTCTCTGTGTGTGTCTCTCTGTGTCTCTGTGTCTGTGTGTGTGTCTCTCTGTGTCTCTGTGTCTCTGTGTGTGTCTCTGTGTCTGTGTGTGTGTCTCTGTGTCTCTGTGTGTGTCTCTGTGTGTGTCTCTGTGTCTCTGTGTGTGTCTCTGTGTGTGTGTGTATCTCTCTGTGTCTGTGTGTGTGTCTCTGTGTCTCTGTGTGTGTGTGTCTCTGTGTGTGTGTCTCTGTGTGTCTCTCTGTGTGGGTCTCTGTGTGTGTGTCTGTGTGTCTCTCTTTGTCTCTGTGTGTGTGTGTCTCTGTGTGTCTCTCTGTGTGTGTGTCTCTCTGTCTCTCTGTGTGTGTGTCTCTCTGTCTCTGTGTGTGTGTGTCTCTCTGTCTCTGTGTGTGTGTGTCTCTGTCTCTGTGTGTGTGTCTGTGTTTGTGTATCTCTTTGTTTCTGTGTGTCTGTGTGTGTCTCTGTGTCTCTGTGTGTGTCTCTCTGTGTCTCTGTGTCTGTGTCTCTCTGTGTCTCTGTGTGTGTCTGCGTGTGTGTCTCTCTGTGTGTGTCTCTGTGTGTGTCTCTCTTTGTCTCTGTGTGTGTGTCTCTGTGCCTCTGTGTGTGTCTGTGTGTGTGTGTCTCTGTGTGTGGGTGTCTCTGTCTGTGTGTGTGGGTGCCTGTGTGTCTCTGTGTGTCTGTGTGTCTCTGTGTGTGGGTGTCTGTGTGTGTCTGTGTCTCTGTGTGTGTGTCTCTCTGTGTTTGTGTATCTCTCTTTGTTTCTGTGTGTGTCTGTGTCTCTCTGTGTATCTCTATGTGTCTCTCTGTGTCTGCGTGTCTGTGTATCTCTGTGTGTCTGTGTCTCTCTGTGTCTGCGTGTGTCTGTGTATCTCTGTGTGTCTGTGTCTCTCTGTGTCTGCGTGTGTCTGCGTGTGTCTGCGTATGTGTGTCTGTGTGTCTCTCTGTGTGTGTCTCTCTCTTTGTCTCTGTGTGTCTCTCTTTGTCTGTGTGTGTGTCTCTCTTTGTGTGTGTGTCTCTCTTTGTCTGTGTGTGTGTGTCTGTCTGTGTCTCTCTGTGTGTCTGCATGTGTCTCTGTGTGTCTGTGTGTGTCTCTCTGTCTCTGTGTGTGTCTGTGTGTGTGTCTCTCTTTGTCTCTGTGTGTGTGTCTCTCTGTGTCTCTGTGTGTGTGTCTCTGTGTGTCTCTCTGTGTGTCTCTGTGTGTCTCTCTGTGTCTCTCTGTGTCTCTCTGTGTCTCTCTGTGTCTCTCTGTGTCTGTGTGTGTGTCTCTCTGTGTCTGTGTGTGTGTGTCTCTCTGTGTCTGTGTGTGTGTGTCTCTCTGTGTGTGTCTCTGTGTCTCTGTGTGTGTGTCTCTGTGTCTCTGTGTGTGTGTCTCTGTGTGTCTCTCTGTGTCTCTGTGTGTCTCTCTGTGTCTCTCTGTGTCTCTGTGTGTCTCTGTGTGTCTCTGTGTGTCTCTCTGTGTGTCTCTCTGTGTCTGTGTGTGTCTCTGTGTCTGTGTGTGTGTGTCTCTCTGTGTCTGTGTGTGTGTGTCTCTCTGTGTCTGTGTGTGTGTGTCTCTGTGTGTGTGTCTCTGTGTCTCTGTGTGTGTCTCTCTGTGTCTCTGTGTGTGTGTCTGTGTGTCTCTCTTTGTGTGTCTCTCTGTGTCTCTGTGTGTCTCTGTGTGTGTTTCTCTGTGTGTGTCTCTCTGTGTCTCTGTGTGTGTTTCTCTGTGTGTCTGTGTGTGTGTCTTTCTGTGTCTCTGTGTCTGTGTGTGTGTCTCTCTGTTTCTCTGTGTGTGTGTGTGTGTGTGTGTGTGTGTCTCTGTGTGTGTCTGTGTGTCTCTGTGTGTCTGTGTGTGTGTCTGTGTGTGTCTGTGTGTGTCTGTGTGTGTCTGTGTGTCTCCGTGTATCTCTCTGTCTGTGTGTGTGTCTCTCTGTGTCTGTGTGTCTGTGTCTCTGTGTCTGTGTCTCTCTGTGTCTCTGTGTCTGTGTGTCTGTGTCTCTGTGTGTGTGTCTCTCTGTGTCTCTGTGTGTGTGTCTCTCTGTGTCTCTGT